ATCTAGGCACCATGGTTTAAGAGAGACGTTGATAAGCTGCTGTGTTCAGAAGAGAGCAAAGCTGGTGAAGAGCCTTGAGTCTATGTCCTAAGAGGAGGGGGTAAAGGAACTGGGAATGTTTAACCTAAAAAGAGTAGATTCAGGGGAACATGATAGTCAACTTCAATTATATGAAGGTCTATCATGTGGAAGAGGGAGGCATTACACTTTTCTGTTTGACCTCAGAAGAAACAACTAGGAGTAATAGATAGCAGCTGCAAAAATGCAAATTTAGGCTTAATATCAGTCAGACTGACAATCAACTAGCATGTGCCAGTTACTGTTATAAGCACTAGGGATATAAAGAAAGGGAAAAAATAGCTCCTACTTTCAAGGAGTTCACAATCTAATGGAGGAGACAATATACATATAACTTGAGGGAGTACTAGGATAGGCTCCTTGAAGAAGGGGGAAAAATCTGAGTTTGACAGCATGCACACAATTACCAGGACAATTATACTAAAACAGTATTCCAAATATCATGAATGAAGGCATTCTACCACAGCATCTGACAAAAAGTGTAAAAACATTTCAGGACCGGTATGAAAGAGTACATGGAGCAGTTAACCCATGATAAGATGTTCAGGAGAGAAAATAGAACTATAAAGGAATATGCCTAAGAATAAGTAATGAATGCCACTGTGACAGAAGTGACCTGAGAGAAATATTGAAGATCTGAGGAAATACAAAATTACATCCATATCTAGCCGATACATATAGTAGGAAACTTTAATGCTTTGAATACTTGAATACTGCCCAATTAAAGGTGACAAAAAAAGAAATATGCACATAGGAATCTTGGGATAATAAGCATATGAAGAATCCTAGATTCCCTTAATCAGGAAGTGAAAGTAAAAATTTTAATTTTACAGTAATCAAGAAGACAAAGGAGCTTTAATAAATAAAAATAAACTATTTAACATCAACTAAAACCTTTACTGAAGATATTTGAGAAATAGAGAAATTAGGGGTAAGATAGAACCCCTGAAGAAAGAGAAAGTGGGAAATTTCTGGCTATCTATATGACCACAGTGAGTCCCACACAATGGAAATAGGATTTGGATCAAACAAGACACAAGAAGTTTGAGCATCATTTATATAATGAAAGCTAGGAGTAACTGAAGTAGAAGTTGAAGTAGAAGTAACTGAAATTTTAGTATCATTTGTTCAAGCATTGCATGGGGGTTCATTAATTACTAGTGTAATTCATTCATTACCATCCCGTGAAACATGTGTAAATTTGCCTTTCCTGCTTCTGGCCTACCAAATGGCATACTCTTCGAATACTTCCAACCATATGATGATTCAGTACTGAATGAATGCTCGTTGGATATTTAGCATAACATAGCAAAATCTGAGTCCTAACTGGAAAGTCCAAAAACCTAGGTACTACCCTCCCGACCAATGTTGTGCTAAGAGAGCCAGCTCGTACCTCCTAACAAGAGCCAACTATTAAATTTTCAATGTAAGCATTCACACCTCAGAAACTGGTGGACTACAAATGCAAACCTATTTAATTGTTCAGTTGATTGGTTAGCCTTTAGAAAGTAAGACACAACATGTCTAATGTGAAAATAAGTTTAATAGGAATGTACATATAGAACTTATATCAGATTGCATCTTGTCTTGGGGAAGGAGGCAGAGAAGAAGGAAGAGAAAATTTAAAATTCAAAAGCTTTTGGAAGTAATTGTTGAAAACTAAAAATTAATTAATTAAAAAAGAAAAAGAAAAACAATATTAACAACATAAATTAAACTCAAAAGTGTATCATATGTACATTTTTTTTATGAGCCACTTTTAAAACATTTACCAACACATCCCAGCTCCCAGTCCATGAAAATGGGGTAGGGAAGGGACAGTTGCTACATCAATTAAAAAAGAAGAGATACTTTCTGGATTGTTTTCGTGTTTTGACTCTTATGTGGTGAATAGAGCTCTCTGTCATTTAATTCCTCCTCCCCCAACCCCATCAAGGGATAGAGGACGGGCAATGCTGTTTTCCCCTAACACTCCACACGAAGCATTGGTGACCTGGGCCCCTCGCTCCATCTTCCAAATATCATCCTTGAGAAGTATATGTCCATTCTCAGAGGTAACTTTTGAATTCAAGAGGTCTAGAGATCCTAGGTCTTAATGGAATAAACTGATGGCATTGGAAAAGACAACAACTTCCAAGAGAAGCCGAAGCCTCGCTCAACAAAAGACTTTGTGCTTCTGCAGACTGTACTTTGAAGAAATCAAGTCAACAAGCATTTATTAAGCATCTACTATGTACCAAGCACTGTGCTAAGACACAAAGAAAAGCAAAAAAAATCCCAACTCTAAATGGAGGAAACAACATGAAAACAACTATTTACAAACTTACACCCTAATGCTTTTATTCAACTACAAGAAGCATTTTGTACATCTATGTAACATGCTAATTATTAAATGTAAAACAATAATAGGATAGAAACTTTTCTAACACCACTGAAAATGATGAGAATAACAAGATGAATAACAATAATAATGGTAATGATGAGCAAGTTTTATTTATATATTATTTTATGGTAATAAAATGTTTCTAGAGAATCATACTGAGGCTCACAACAATGCAACAACAACAGCAATAGTTATATATCAGACCAGACCTGGTGTCAGGAAAACCTGGGTTCAATACCAGTCTCTACTCTGGGACCTTTGTTTCAGAAAGATACTTGTTAAAGAGGGTGTTTGAGGCCTATACCAAGGAATGGTCCTTCCCACTGTGGGTGTCATGCATATGCTTGCTATGTACTTCTTTGGCTCTGGATTAGCGGAAAACTACAACAGAAGAATCTAGATAATGTATTGAATTATCCCCAGCTGTTGGCAACTGGGATGCTATCTGGTATGTTCATAACAGGAATGATGACCCCCTGGAGAAAGAATCAGGTGTCTAATACAGATTCAAGCTTCTTCAGGAGAAACAAAATACACCAGGGCTTTAGACTGTGCCAAAAAAAAAAAAAACCCAAAACTGTATCGGGAAGCTAGAATGAGAGAAGAAGGTGTCACATCCCTGTCATGAATGAGGGAGTATAAATTGAGGGTGTGGGAGAACGCTTTCGTCACACTTTCCTCTGTGATGAAAGATACCTTTTTTTCTCTGTGAAAAAAGAGTTAATGATGTCATTGTGACTGGCTTAGAAAGCCCACAAATTAAGCCTCAGGAGTTACAGTCATGAGTAGATATGTATTTTCCCTACTCAAGGATTATCCCCTCAGAATCTGAAAGGGTGTTGTAGCCATGTGGCCACAATGACTGCCTCTATCTACCCCCAGCCCAGGAAAACTGTTTGGACTTGCCAGAGTGAATTCAGATTGGTGTGCGTGAATCAATCCAGAAAACAAGAATGGGGTTGTAGGTGCCATGCCAGGTGTCATACCCTTTACAATAATGGTATGCTACAATAGGGTTTACTACAGTAATGTTATAAAGGAATGTGGGAAGTAAAAGTTCTGATATACTCTGCACTGGTCAGATTACATCTGAAGTATGTGAGCACCACATTTAATGAAAGATACTGATAAACTGGACAGTGTCTAGATTAGGGCAACCAAAATGATGAACAATCAAAGGATCATGCCATATAACAATGAATTTAAGGAATCTGGGGTGTTTGACCAGAAGAGAAGACGCTTCAGGGAGAGTAGACAAGTTAACTGTTGCCAATTACTTGATAGGCTATTATGGGGGGGGAAAGGTTATATTTATTCTGTTTGGTCCCAGAATACAGAACTGGGAACAATGGGTAGGCGTTATAAAGAGACATATTTAGGCTTGATGTGATGAAAAACTTGCTAATAATTAGAAGCATCGGAAGGTAGAATTGTCTCTGACACATGTGGCTGTGTGCCCATGGATAAATCCTTTAACTTCTTCTTGCCCTCAGACAACTTTCTTACACTATTATTTGTAGAAGAGTTGGCCATTTGCTTTGATAGAATGACCTTCCTCTAGGGTGCCTATGTCACTGATATCATAGATCTAGTCCCAAATTTAAATACAAAATACATAATCAGAAATAAAATAACATCATCCCTTCCCTAGCTCCCTGTGCAAGAACTACTACAACAACTTCACAGGGACTAGTCACCTAAGCAAAAATGTTTGTAAAAGTTCCTATATGTTAAAAATGGTATTTTGTATAGGAGACTCTTGTTCAGGTATGGGTGGGATTCTGAGTTTTCTTCTCATCTAACATGGCATTAGAGGGATAACATAAGTTGATGCCTTATTGAAAAAAAATCCTCAGTACAAGAACTAAGGTTTTCTAATCCACTTTAACCTTGTTAACAGAGAATTAACCTTACAGAACCATATAGAAGATGAGAAAAGGATTCAGGAGAGCTTTATCAAATTTTTCCTGGGCTCACCAACTACAAAGCTATAATGGTGATTTTCTGTACCCAAAAATAAAAATGACTTCTCTCCTAGATTTGTTCTCCCCAGGCAAAGGTGATACTGTGGAACTTAACAGCACACTTGGTCTCTACCTTAACAGATGTATGTAGGTAAATTAAAACATAAAAAAAAATGCTGAATTTGGACAATATCAAAGAGAAAAATAATGGGGCTATGGGACAAAAAGTATTGATGTAAGCATTTCAGTGTAACAGTTCCCTAATAAGTAGATTAGAATCCTTAGATCTTGAACTCCCACCTGATAATCTACAGCCTGGTTTGCTGCCACCATACCCTTTCCTCTTCCATGTCATTCTAGTGTGTTAGGCTTTTGATGGAGGAAGGAGTGTAGACCCTTCCTTCAATCCAGCAAGGGATTTCTCTGTTACAGTTCCTCCCTCCTCTTTGCACTTTCCCTTATAATGACAATTCCACAGAAATGAAAAAAAAAAAAGGCTCCTTCTCCTCCTTGGAAAATTACTGCAGACTCCTGCTCATGCGTCAGAGAGTGTGGGAAAGGGCAAGCTCCAGAAGAAGCCCCACCTCTTAATAACTGAGTTATAAATACACTGTGCTGTAGTGTACTCTGCAGAGATCTTTCTTGCTGATTCTTTCTCTGGATTGCTTAACCTGTGGAGTTCTGTAAGTAAACACTTTTTCTGATAGTTTTTTTAAAAGTCTATTTTAGAGATTTATGCAAAAGTCACAGCCTTTAGTTCCTGGTCCAGAAGCAGGATTTCTGAGTTCTATATACAGATCTTTAATTTGACCTACTGAAATAGTTGAAATCTTAGTACTCTAGACACTGGAGTAATACACAAGACTAACATACTGAAATTATACCCAAACCTAGGAGAGTGTCTTGGTTTTTTGCGTGTGAGAATGTTTACCAAGATTGTAGCTTAGGTCACTAGTCCCTGTAACGTTGTTGTAGTTAGGTGCTAGAGAGGAGATGATATCATTTAATTTCTGACTGCATATTTTATATTTAATTTTAGGGCCAGATATGTGATATCATTGGCATAGGCCCCTGAAAGAAGGCCATTCTACCAAAGCAAATGACCAATTGTTCTACAACTAATAATCTTAGAAAGTTGTCTGAGGGCAATGAAAAGTTAAGGAATTTATCCAAGGGTACAGAGCCAGCCTGTGTCAGAGGTAGAAGTTTAACCAAGCTCTTGCTGACTTTGAGAGTAGCTCAATGTTCATGATGCTCTGATGCTTCTCTTAATTTTTTTTTTTACAACTTAATCAATGGCTTGGCAGATAAATAGATGAAATGAGGGAGGGGCAGGATGGGTTCTTGTTATCAAGTCATTGGTAATCTTTTTGAGGGTCCCGGTTATCTTTTAAGACAATGTCTATATTCTCTTTTACATCTGTGAGGGGCAAGAGAAGCTAAAGACAGAAAAGATTGCATGTATTAACCATACTGCCATAATTAGTAATTATAACCACTGTATATTAAGGGTTTGGTGGGGAGGAGAATATTCACTTGAGCTAAAATAGAAACCTGTATCTTCTCAATACCATGGTCATACAAAGCCCTCACCCACGTTTGAATTTCCCTGGAATATGACTTACGTGGATTCCCTTATCCTAATTGATTTACTACCTTTTGGCTTAGTTTCTGAACTAGTATGACTTTTATTAAAACAAAAGACAACATTGCTCACCTCAAGAGACAAATAAGAGGAAAGAAGCACATTACGGTGACTTGTACAATGAAAAGTTTTAGCCACAGCCCCACTTTTGAAATTCTGAAAAGCTCTTTTTTTTCAGTCCCCTCCTTGAAATCAATTATTTGTTACTGTTTGTTTGCTGTTTCACAATGCTTTGTGCTAAAGGCACAACCTTCCTATGACTCGTTAGGTGGAATTTTAGTTAAACAGTAAAGATACTGATAAGAAAAAAAAAAACCAGTATAGAAGTATGAAAAAGTAAATAACTTGTGATAACACAGCCACCTTGTGGTAACACTATTACCTAAGTTACCCTATTCTCCCTACCCATGATCCAGACACACTACACTTGGACAGAACATGTTATTACAGCTTTCCATAAGAGCTCACTTCATGCTGATATAAACTACATGAAGAAAAATACTAGTTAGATACTAGTTATCAGTTCAACTTCCTAAAAACTAACATTCCTAATGGCTAATATTCATATAATGCCTTAAAATTTATAAAAGTTCTTTATAAATAGTATTTCATTTTATCCTCAAAGCCATCTTAGGATGAAGGTACTATTGTTATCTCTAATTTATAGATGAAAAACTGAGGCATATAGAGGTTAAGTGATTTGCCTACGGTCACACACCTAGTAAATGCCTGAAGCAGTATTTCAATTCACTTTCCTGATTTCTAGTACTGCTACCAAGTTGCCTCAATAGAGCCCTCCTTTAAAGTTAAGAAGTACACACCAATATACTGACCAAAGAAGTTAGGCTAAATGACTTGCCTATGGTTACAGAAGTAATAAGTGGCAAAGTCTAGATTTGATCCCAAGTCTGACTCCAGATTGAGTGCTCGTCCCACTGTGTGGTGCTATGGGTACCCACATGCAATAAAATTTGATTGTGCCCTATAAAAATTACCAATATGAAAAATACAAAGAAATACAGGGAAATTTATGAAAAGTAATTCAGAGAGAAAAAAGGTAGAGTCAAAACAATACACATACTGACTACAACTTATCTCTAATAATGATAGAGGAAAAAAATCAGGAAAATTCACAAGGGAATAACTATTTCAATGGGAGAAAAATGAAAGTGAACAGGGTATTTTTGTTATGATCTTGTTAAAGTTAATGTATGTGGGGTTTTTAAAAACTGAACAATGAAGTTTATGCTTTCAAGTAAAATAATTTTCTACTCTTATTTCTCTTGAGCACTCAAAAGAAAACGGAAATGAACCAAGAGCACAAAAGAAGTCAGCTTGGTTTTCCCTTCTATTTTAAGTGGAGGAAATATTGCAAACTAAGAAAATAAATAAAGAATGGAAGCTGTTGGGTTGGTTTTGTTTTGGGTTTTTTTTTTCACCTTTAGAATTTATGGACTAAGAATAATAAAAACCAGTTAAGCAAAGGCTATGAATTGAAAGTTCACAGTGCCATCTTGTGGTTAAGTAGTATTAATATGACCTCTCCATAGAAGTCAGAGTTTCTTTAAAGGGAGAGACATAGTGTGCAAAAATTAGTTTGACCACATTAATTTGATTGAGAGTAAGGAAGCAGAAAAACTAGCAGTATCTTCACATTCACAGAGGCAATATTCATAGGATTTACAACTGGAAGGGACCATATCTAGACCAATTCTCACCCTACCTACATTTTATAGATGAAAAAACTAAGTTCTAGAAAGATAAAGTGACTACCTAAGGTGACACATTCAGTCAGTGGCAGAACTTGGATGCTTTGGGGGTTTTTTTGAGGCAACCAGGGTTAAGTGACTTGCCCAGGGTCACACAGCTAGTAAATGTCTAAGGCCAGACTTGGACTCAGATTCTGCTGACTTCAGGGCCAATACACTATCCATTGTGCCACCTAGCTGCCCCAGAGCTGGTATTCTAACATAAGCCCTCTATTCTGAATCCAGAATTTTCTGGGCCAGGCCACAGTTGCCCCTTCAGTGTTGCAAAATAAGAGCAACCATGGTAGGGTCTGTTTCTGTTAACTGCAATCACTCACCAAATACTTATTAAGTGCCTACTATGTTTCAGATACTGCTAGGAACTGGGAATACAAATGCAAAAGTGAAACAAACACTGCCCTCAAGAAGTGTACATTCTACCACAGATAAAGTTTTATGCAAAATAATACACAGTGATGAGGGAAGTAACAATTTGGGGGATCAGGAAAGGACTCTTAAGGGTGATACATCTTTAGTTGAGTCTTGAAGGGAGACAGGAATTCCAAGAAGCAAAGTCAAAGAATGATAGCATTCCAGGCAAGGGAGGAGAAGGTGAGATTTTATGCACAGGAATCATCAAGTAAACCAATTGGGTGGAACATAGGCCATTCACGGTGAAAACTCCCAATGCAAATCACCAAAGTCATATAAAAGGTGGCATTGTAGAGTGTGAAAGCTGAACGAGACCTTTAAAATTACATAATCTTCCCCTCTTGTTTTAGAGTTGAAACAATTTCCACAAATTTATTTTTTAAATTTATTTACTTATTCTTAGTTTTCAACATCTACCTCCATAAGATTTTGAGTTTCAAATTTTCTCCCCATCTCTCCCCTACCCCTACACCAAGACTGCATGCAATTTGATATAAGCTCTACATATACATTCATATTGAACCTATTTTTACATTAGTCATGTTGTAAAGAAGAACTAGAACCAATGGGAGAAACCATAAGAAAAAAGAAACAAAAAAAAAGAAAGAAAGAAAGAAAAAGAGAGAGAGAGCAAATAATATGCTTTGATCTGCATTCAGACTCCACAGTTCTTTTTCTGGATATGGACAGCATTTTCCATCACGAGTCCTTTGGAATTGTCTTGTATCCTTGCATTGCTAAGAAGAGCTGAGTCTATCCAAGTTAGTCATTGCACAACGTGGCCGTTACTGTGTACAATGTTCTCCTGGTTCTGCTCACTTCACTCAGCATCACTTCAAGTCTTTCCAGGTTTTTCTGAAGTCTGCCTGCTCATCATTTCTTATAGGACAACAGCATTCCATTACATTCATATACCACAACTTGTTCAGCCATTCCACAACTGTTGGGCATCCCCTCAATTTCCAATTCTTTGCCACGTCAAAAAGAACTGCTACAAATATTTTTGTACACGTGGGTCCTTTTCCCATTTGTATGATCTCTTTGAGATACAGATATAGGAATGGTATTGCTGACTCAAAGAGTATGTACAGTTTTATAGCCCTTTGGACATAGTTCCAAATTACTCTCCAGAATGGTTAGATCAGTTCACAACTCTATTACCAATGCATTAATGTTCCAGTTTTTCCACATCTCTAGCATTTATCATTTTCCTGCTCTGTCATGTTAGCCAATCTGATAGGCGTGATGTGGTACCTCAGAGCTGTTTTCATCTGCATTTCTCTAATCAATACTGCTTTAGAGCATTTTTTCACATGACTATAGATAGCTCTAATTTCTTCATCTGAAAACTGCCTGTACATACCCTTTGAGTGTTTGTCAATTGGGGAATGACTTATATTCTTACAAATTTGACTCAGTTCTCTATATATTTCAGAAATGTGGCCTTTATCAGAGACCCTGGTTGTAAAAATTCTTTCCCAGTTTTCTGCTTCCCTCCTAATCTTGGTTGCATTGGCTTTCTTTGTGCAAAAACTTTTCAACTTAATGTAATCAAAACTATCCATTTTGCATTTCATAATGTTCTCTATCTCTTGTTTGGTCATAAATTCTTCCATTCTCCATAAATCTAACAGGTAAACTATTCCTTGATCTCCTAGTTTGTTTATAACCTTTATATCTAAATAATGTGCCCATTTTGATTTTGTTTTGGTATACAGTGTAAGATGTTGGTCTATGCCTAGTTTCTGCCATACTCTTTTCCAGTTTTCCCAGCCATTTTTGTCAAATAATGAGTTCTTATCCCAGAAGATGGGGTCTTTGGGTTTATCAAACAGTAGATTACTATAGTCACACATTTCAGTGGAGAGTCAATGGCAAAGCCAGGACTCAAACTCAAATGCTTTGAGGCTAATTCCAGTGGGTTTTTTCCCCCACAACAACAGGCACAAGTGTATTTTGTGGGGACTGCTCCTCCTCACAGTGTGAATCATGATTCTCCCAAAAACCTGTATTTGTATGTAATCAATCAAAGGTCAAAAAAAAAAAGAGAGAATTGGGCTTTGGATAAAGGGTAAGTAACCATGGGGAAGCCAATTACTGGGTTGTAATTTAAAGATGTGTTTCTATTTCCATTCCAGGAGCTTCAGGATGGTTTATGCTAAGTGCTGGACACTGAAGAAGCACTTTGTAGGACTACCAAACAAAAGTGACTTTGAGCTAAAGGAGGTTGAGCTACCAGCCTTAAAAAATGGAGGTAAGTCGTATTTAATTTCTGGGCAGTCCAGTCAATTAGCATTTATTAAGAATCTATGTACTAGGGATTGTGCTAAGTGCTGGAGATACAAAGAAAGGCACAAAATAATCCCTTGTCTCAAGAAGTTCACACAGTCTAAGGGGGGAAATAACATGCAAACAACTACGTGTGTACAGACAAGCTGTATAGAGGATAAATTAAAAATCATCTCAGAGAGAAGACACTAAGATTGAGGAGGACTAGAAAAGGCTTCTAGCATAAGAGGGACGTTAGCTGATATTTGGAGGATGCCCAAAAACCAGGAGGCAGAAATGAGGAGGGAAACAATTCCAGACATAGTGAAAATGCTCAGATTAGGGAGATGGAGTGTATTATTCAAAGAACAAGAAGGCCAAATTCATTGTATCATAGTTGTGGATAGTAGGTGTAAGAAGATTAGAAAGGTAGGAAGGGGACAGATTATGAAGGGCTTTATAAGCCAGAGGGTTTTCTATATTTCATCCTGGAGGTAATAGGGATCCACTGCAGTTTATTAAATTGGAAAGGGACGTGTGATACGATCAGATCTACGCTTTTCTAAGAAGATCAAGATGGTGCCAGAGAACATGTCATTATTTTGTTCTCCTTAATGATGGAAATATTAATAATAATAATAATAATAATAATTAATGTTTTCCTTAATTAAGAAGTTTACTACCTAATTGGGGAGGATGAGAAGAGCAAAAATAGGTGAGAAGAGCAACATGAAAAGAGCAAATGGTTTGCAATAAGAAGACTTGGGCTTAAGTCCTAGTTCTAATAACTTACTAGCTGTATGACCTTGGGCAAGTCACTTAACAGCTCTGTGCCTCTGTTTCCTCATTCAAAAAACTGAGATATTAATACCATGATATGTTGGAAAGAGCATTGGACTTAGAATCAATTTAGTTCAATTTAATCAACCTTATTTAGGTTCCTCCTCTATAAAAAGCAAAAAAAAAATTGTGGGCTCTGGGGATAAAAAGACAATAATTAATACTTTTTCCTCAAGGAATTTATATTCAGAGTTAGAGTACTCACTCTGACACTTACTAAGTGACAGGAGGCCAGTCACTGAACCTCTCTTACTTCTTTTTTCCTCATTTATAAAAATGATATTTAAATGGCAGGGTATAAAGTTCATATCTTACTCTTAAGGGCAATAGTGGTAGCACAGGACTGACACGGTCAAATCTTTATCAAAAACAATTAATTTGGCAGCTATAGAAGGATGATATGTGTGTGTGTATGTATACACATACATATATACATATATGCACAATATGCATATATATACATACACACATGTATACACATATAGGTCACTGAACTATGGTAATGGCTTTGTGAACAAAGAGAAGGAGACAGATTCCCAAAATGTTATAGAGGAGAACTTACAAAACTTTGCAACTGGTTGAATGCAGGGGAAGGGCGGAAAGGGAAGAGAGAGAGAAACAAAAGTGAAGAGTGGAAAACAACTCTGAAATTTGAAAACTGGATGACTAGAATGATGGTGGTGCTCTCAGGACCAACGGAAGATCAGTGACTTGGGAGTCAGTGGACCTGGGTTTCCTATCCCACCCCTGACACTTACTTACCCAGGTGATCTTGTGCAAGTCATTTTAACCTCACTGGGCTTCAGTTTCCTCATCATTAAATTGTGGGGATTGGACTAGTTGGCCTCTACAGATCTGTTCCTCCCAGCTCTAAATCTATAATCCTGCAATCTAAAGAAATAGGGAAGTTTAGAGGAGCATTAGTTTTAGGGCAAACGATAATGAATTGTTAAGAAATTACTTTTGGGTGAAGCTAGGTGGTGCAGTGGATAGAGCACCAGCCCTGGAGTCAGGAGGACCTGAGCTCAAAGCCGATCTCAGACCAGACACTTGACACTTACTAACTGTGTGACCCCGGGCAAGTCACTTAATCCCAACTGCCTCACCAAAAAAAGAAAAAAGAAATTACTTTTAAGCCCACAAATCACTCTGTAAATGGAGGTTGGTGTGGTCAATACCTACTTAATAGAGTTGGTATGAGTATTAGGAAAATAATGCATATAAAAGTGTTTTGTCACAGTAAAGCACTGTAAAAATGATAGGTATTGTTGTTATTCAGAGATATTGGAAACTCCACGCTTAAAAAAAAATTCCATTGCATATCTTTCTATGACATGTCCTTCACAGTGAAAAGCAATCATACAATTAAGTAATTATGGTTGTAGTTCCAGGTATGCACTATTACTGCACCTTTCTTCCCAATTCTTCATCTTGAGTAAGACCCTGGTTAGCTTTTTTTTCCTCCTTCTTTTTGTCTCTTCTGCATGAGAGTTCCAAATCACTATTATAATGACTGGATGGGCCAGTTCACTTTTTTTCCAAGGAAAGAGCCTAATTTATGATGAGAAAACTCCTGATACCATTTTCATCATGGGCTTCAAGAAAGGTACATGGGTTTACTCTAGAAATAAGAATGGTTAGGCAAAGAGGGAGCTTGGCATCACAAATCTCTAATTCTAAAATGTCCTCAAAAAGCATAGTCAATATATACCTGATGTGCCAAAATAAAAATCAAATGCCCTTCTACGTAAGTGGAATCACACTACAGTGAATTCTTGGAACTCTCTTTGTTCCTGAATTTCATACAGTAAAAGCATCATATAGAATAACTTAAGGAACTTAGAATCCCAGAATCTCACAGGGGCCCTTCAAGACCATCTATTTGGTTGACCACGTCTAAACAAGAATCCTCTCTACAATAATGCCAACGGTGTTCTGCTTGAAGACTTCCTGTGAAGGAAAAAATACTACTTCCCTACGTAGTCCACTCTGAAGCAGTTCTTTTTTTCAGCATAAGTTTTTAGTGGAATTTTCTGTTTCTTATATTGTCATAGTTATACCCAAGTATTCCTCCCCATCCCAGAAAACCATGTAACAAATATTTTTTCAGAGAGGAAAAAAAATCAGCACCTATTGGTTGAAAAAGTCCAAAAAGACATACAATGTGTAACACTGTGGACCTCTCACCTCCATGAAGGGATGGGATGGGGGTGTCCCCTCATATCTCTGCATTCGAGTCCTGCTTGAGCTTTATAATTTTGTTATATTTATTTTGATTTTTTTTGGTGTGTAATTGTTCTTTCCATATGTATAGTTTTCTTGGCTCTGTTTATTTCACTCTACATCAGTTCATATATTCTATATGAACTACTATATATTCACACATCATTGCTATAGTGCAATAACATTCCATTATATACATGCCCTACAGTTTGTTTAGCTGTTTCCCAGTTGATGGGAATCAACTTTGTTTCCAATTCTTGGCTATCATAAAAAGTGCTGCCATAAATATTTTGTAACACATGAGGACTTTCTTATCAATGGCTTCTTTGGCTTATAAGCCCAGTAATGAAGTCTCAAGTTCAAATAGTATAAACAATTTAGTCACTTTATTTCCATAATTTCAAGTTCTTTTCCAGAATGGCTGAACCATTTCACAGCTCTACCAAAAATGTATTAATGTGCCTATCATTCTACAACCCCTTAAAAACTTCTTATTGCCATTTTTGTCATTTTTGCTGGTTTTTAGGGTGTGAAATGAAACCTCCAGATTGTTTTGGTTTGCATTTCTCTTTTTATTAGTGATGTAGAGTATTCTTTCATGTGGTTGTGAAAACTTTGCAATTCTTTATTTGAGAACTATTTGTTCATATCCTTTAACCATTTATTTATTGGGCAATGGTTCTTAGTCACATATATGTATATGTGTATATACATACATATATATGCATATATATCTCATGAATAACAAATCTTTATCAGACAAATTTGATGCAAAGATTTTTTTTCCCATTCTACAACTTTGCTTCTTATCTTACATACATCAGTGTTGTCTGCGCAAAAGCTTTTCAATTTCATGTAATCAAGGTTATCTATTTTGTCTTTTATACTTCCATTTATCTCTTTTGGTTAAGAACACATATCCAACTCATATTTGTAAGAGTTTCACAAAGTTTTATTATTTACCTGTGTCCCTCCCCAGGAAGATAACTGAACCTCCTAGTGGCCATCTGCTGCAATAACCCTCAATGAACATGTGTATGTGTAAGTCAGGAGTCTGTAGCTGTGAGTTTGTGAACTTTAAAAAAAAACATTTTATAAATGTATTTCAGTACAATTAATGTCTTTGTAATCCTATGTTTTTTATTTCATGCATTTAAAAACAATGTTCTGAGAAGGGGTTTATAGGTTTCACCAGATTGCAAAAGAGGACTAGGACATGCTAAAAGTTTAGAATCCCTGTTCTAAGTAAGCATACTGTATTAAAAGTATTTTTGTTCTTAAGTTAATAAGTTCTGAAATTTTGTTTTGCAGAAGTCCTCCTTGAAGCTTTGTTCCTCAGCCTTGACCCCTACATGAGGTATTATTTTTTTAAAGCATAAAATCCTTTAAAATACCTTTTGGCATAAAAATGTTCTCATAGCAGTCTGTTTGTTCTTTCTACTGTAATCTGTGGCTCAGAGTCCTCAAAGCTCTGGTTTCACATGGACTAGGTTTGTCCTTGGGGATTATCTCAAAAAAAGTCATTATCCTTGGCATAAGACATCCCACTCATATATTAACTACTTGGGGTAGTGTTTTAATATAATTTGTGTCTAGCTGATGTGTGTTGTTGTTGTGTTGTTGTTCAGTCATGTCCAACTCTTTGTGACCCCATTTGGGGTGTTCTTGGCAAAAATACTAGAGTGGTTTTTCCATTTCCTTCTCCAGCTCATTTCACAGTTTAGGAAACTGAGGCAAACAGGGTCAAGTGATTTGCCCTGTCTGAGTACCTGAGGCCAGATTTGAACTCTGGTATTCCTGACTTCACGCCTGGCCCTCTATCCACTGACACCTAGTTGCCCCAGCTGCTGTGTAGGCTTCTACAAATATGGGTAACCTAATTCCTTTACAAGTACTCAGTGCAAAAAAAAGATATAGATAGATAGATAGATACACATACATACATGCATGTGTGTATTATGTACATGTTGTGCATGCATACATACACACATACAAACACACATGTGCATGTATGGATGCAGATTGATGAGATGTAGTGTATGACCTGGCATGATATGACACGACATGACATGATACATGATACGATATGATATGATATGATATGATATGATATGATATGATATGATATGATATGATATGATAAAGGCAGCATTTATTTAATTCCCTGGAACTTTTTGGTCTTAAGACTCCTTTGTACTCTCAAAAATTATTGGTTTTTGTTTATGTGGGATATATATGTGTGTATATGTATATATGCACATACATGTATATAATTTATATATGTGTATATGAATTTTCCCTATTAGAAATTAAATATCTTGTTATTATTATGAAAATACTTTTAAACTCAGGGACCCCCAGAGGTTGCTAGACTACACTTTGAGAACAGCTGCCATAGAGAATACAGCAGATGCAAAGGATGCACCCACATGAGCCTATAAATAAATATGGGAAACAAAATATCCACAATAGTTCATAAGTAATCAGCACAATTCTCTTCCTTCTCTTGTGAATGTCACTTTTCCAAAGGGTCCTACACAGCCCCTTCCAGAATCATGGTGCCACTCCGTAGTTTGGACTCTCCCTGTAAGGCAGACACACGCTGGAGCTGCTGAACTGTGTAAATCACTTACAGTGATAACAAGGAACAAAATACAGATCTTCTGCCCTCTACTTCCATGTCGTGGCTTTAAGTCCTTTATTATTTCCCCATTTGGAAAACGGGTGAAGGAAGGAGGTGGGATAATATTCAAGGCAACCTTCAAAGGTAGCACTGCCCAAGAAATCTCCTTTCACTGGAAGACCTCCTAGCAAATCAAGTTTTTCCACCTCCAACACACCCTCATCATAGGAGATTCAGAAACATGGTCCATATACTCCCCTCTCAGACCCAGAGTACAAGCACAAGATAGCTTCTGCTAGGCATTTGTGCAAGAACTCTTGATATCCCACCACCACCCAGGCTGCTTCCATCTTTGGGGCTAGAAAAAATCCAGCCCCATTTTCCAGTCTTTGAACTATATTCTGAGAGTGAAACAGAGTCAGAAGGTACCAGGAATTCCCTCTCAAGCCATGTCAACAGAAAGATGCAGCTTCCAATAAGTTTCTGCTGAAAGGCAACTATTATTGATCCCTGGTAAGGGAAGAAAAGGAAGAAATACCCTCCTTCCTATCCACCTGTACTAAGGAAAAAGGGTACAAGGGATAGATAGATGCATGGATAGTTAGAAAGATAAATGAATGAATAAATAAATCAATGGATGATTGGATAAATGGATTGATTAATTAATAGCATTTATATAGCACTTTAAGGTTGGCAAAGCCCTTCATAAATATCATCTCATTTGATCTTCACAACAACCGTGGGAGGCAGATGCTATTATATTCCCTGTTTTACAGTTGAATAAAATGAGGTAAAATGATCTGTCCAAGATCACACAGCTAATAAATATGTGAGGTCGAATTTTAACTCAGATCTTCCTCACCATAGGCCCGACATTCTACATACTATGCCATCTAGCCACTTCAAAGAAAGATCTGTGGGGCATTCTCTGCAAGCTACCATAGACCAGCAGCCATTCTGAAAATAATCTATTCATCTTCCCAAGAATCTTATCCAATCAAATAATTATGGTAACAATTCTAGTCACTAAAACCCATACTTTGAAAGCACCAAGGGGTTGCTTTAAATGAGCTAAATCATTCTGGGACAACCAAAGTTCACAAGATTCAATCAATAGTTGTCCTGGTCCTCCCTGCAAGGACAATGGCCATATCCCCAGTTCATAAAGAGAGGTACTTTCAAAAATCCCAGATAAGGTTTATCACTCTGCAAGCCCATGCTTTGATCAAGTGAACGTCCACAAGAAACTGAGAAGAGGATAAGAGGAAGAAGTGGGAAAATTCAAATCACTCTAGCAAAAGATTTTAGCATCCGAAGGAGTTAGAAGAAAGAAGACATTCACAATTTGCCTTAGCTATGGAATACTTTCATTTATCTATACTAACATTCTTCCCACTTTCACACAATCTACAATTAACTGTAGTAAAATATTTATGTTCTCAAATCCCTTAGACTGAAGACCACTTTAGGAACCTACTCCCTCTCGCTACTAGAGTGGAAAAAACAAAAACAATACAACCTCACCACCTAATGCTCCCCACCCCCAGAATAAGTCAGCTACAATTATATTTGGCCTAGATCTATACCATAACCAATGTTTTATTATATTCATTTACAAATTAAAATCTGCAGTAGAAAATGCTTTTTTAAGAAAACATCCCCTTTATTTTGTGAGAGTACAACAAAAATTTATTTAAGGTCATATTCAGGTCAACAAAAATTTATTAAATATTTTCTATGTGACAGGCATTATGTTAGATGTTGGGCATACAAAAAAAGACAAAAATGCAGTCTCTTCCCTCTAATATTACATTCTAATGAGGGAGAAAACATGCAAACAAAATACATACAAAATATATACAAAGAAAGAATGCAGTCTGAGAGAAGACCTCCTAAAGTACATCAAATTTAAGCTGAGTTTTGAAAGGAAGCCAGGGAAGCCAAAGACAAAGGGGAGAAGGTAAAGCATCCCAGTCCCTGGGAAAGGACAGAAGAAAAGGAGAGAGGGAGGGAGGAAGAAAAGATTTATTAAACACCTCCTGTGTGTCAGGCACAGTGCTAAATGCTTTACAAATATTATCTCATTTGATCCGCACAACAATGCTGAGGAGTAGGTACTGTTATTATCCTCATTTTAGAGATGAAGGGGAAGCTAGGTGGCACAGCAGATAAAGCATCAGGCCTGGAGTCTGGCAGACCTCAGCTCAAATCTAGCCTTAGACATTTACTGAGTGACCCTCAGCAAGTCCATTAACTCTGTTCGCATCAGTTTCATCACCTTTGAAATGAGCTGAAGAAGGAAATGGCAAACCACTCTAGTATTTTTGCCAAGAAAACCCTAAAAGGGATCACAAAGAGTCAGAAACAACTGAACAACAACAACATAGATGGGGAAACTGAAGCAGAAAGAGATGAAATGAATTAATTGCTCACAGTCACACAACTACAGAAGTGTATGAGTTCAAATTTGAACTTAGATCTCAGTGCTCCATACAAAGGTACAGAAACGGGATGAAATGCCATATTTGAGGAACTGTAAGTAAGCCAGTGTTGCTGGAATATAAAGTATATGAAGAAGAATAAAATGTAAGAAGTCTAGAAAAGTAGGAAGGACACAGGTTATGATGAGCTTTAAATGTCAACTAAAGGAGTATATACTATATGCTATGAGTAAAAGCAAGCTGCTGGAGCTCCTTGAGCAGAAGGTTGACATGGTCATACCTACTCTTTAGAAAACAATATCATTGGTATGTAGGATATATACACTTATGTATGTATCCTTGATTACTCATATGTGTATACATGCATTGTGCATATACATGCATGTACATGTGTGCATGTGTGTGTGAACATATGCAGTCGTATATGTGTGTTGTGTTTTATGAACACAACATTGTGTTTATATTGTGTGGTATACATGTGTTGATGTGTATATATGCATAATATAAATGTGTATGCACAGGTGCACACATATATACATACATACACATAGAGAAAACCAGTCTCTGAGACAGATAAAGAGAGAGAGAGAGACAGAGAGAGAGACAGAGAGAGAGAGAGAGAGACAGAGAGACAGAGAGATGTCGAAGACTGGATTTCTCTGTCTCGCCCAGGCTGAAATGCCATTCATCACTTATCTCCACTGATGCTTGGGACAACTGGTTAGCTTAAGCCTGCTCAGAACTTCTGATCTCCTGTACTGCAGCCTCTTTTTCCCCAGTAGCAGTGATTATAGGAGTGCACCACCACATCCAGCCAGAGGCTGCAGCTTGAAGAATATTATTAGAAACTCATTTGTGAATGTAAATGATACCAAACTCATTGGTTATTTCAGCAAAGGGGGGAGGCGGGTATTTACCAAACTAGTTCTTTGGCATCAGGCACAGCAGACATATTTATGTCATTTTGCCATCATGTTGACATCATCTGAGTAGTTTTTCAGAACCATTTCAGAGTGACAGGTACAGATTCCTTCTTCCCAGATTTTATGAAATAACCACAAATTGAATATGAACAGGCTTTTCATTGTTACTTCAAACCCAAGGTAAAATATTCCAATTTACCAGGGATATATTAAAAAATGTATTACTATAGATGTTTCTATTTTTCAGACTTGGTGCGAAGGTTTATTTGAAGGAGGGTGATACAATTATGGGAAGCCAAGTTGCCAGGTACTTAACTACTTTTGGTTTGTCTGTGTGCTCTTCAAAAAAAAAAAAGCTGGGGGCCCTTTTGTGTGACCTCAACCTTGAGTCTCTGAATCTTTAGAGTCTTTCTGAAACACTCTCTTTGTCACATTGCTCCACCTCCCCCCACCCCCGCCCCAACCATGGAAACACATACATACCTTTGCTTGCTAAGTTTCCTCTCTTCTCAATTATTCAAAATACATGAAAAATTCTTCAACTTTTCTCATAAATCAGGAAGAAGGGTGGAATTTTCCCCTATCTAGGTTTAATTTACCATGATTCCTATGTCCATTGACATCACTACTAAATTCTTGTACTTGGAACAAAAGTTATTTATGTTTGCATTTATTTATTAAGGGTTTTTCCATTTGTATTCATTCTCCAGATAGATAGATAGATAGATAGATAGATAGATAGATAGATAGATAGATAGATAGACAGACATAGATACATATATGTATGTGTGTGTATAAACACACACACACACACACCATTTGGCTTAAATGATAAACTATTAGATTAATTGGATTGGGGTATATTATTGGGTTCCTTAGAGTCATAATCAATTAGTATTTTTAAGCATCTTCTAGATATAAGGCACTGTGCTAACATGCTGTGTATATAAGACAAAATTAAATAGTCTCTACTCTTAAAACACTTATATTCTAATGAGAGAGAGAACCTATACATATAAGTATATAAAGAATATATAAAATTAATAAAAGGCAGTTCTGGGATAACTAATAATAATTATTACAATATTAGCTGACATTGACATGGTGCTTTAAGGTTTGCAAAGTGCTTTACAGGGGCAACTAGGTGACATAGTAGACAGAGCATTGGCTCTGGAGTCAGGAGGACCTGAATTTAAACCTGGGCTCAGACATTTACTAGTTGTGTGACCCTGGGCAAGTCACTTGATCCCAAATGCCTCCCAAAAACAAAATGCTCTACAAATAGTATTTCATTTGATCCTCATAACAATTGTGGGGGAGGTGCTATTATTATCCTCATTTCACAGCTGCAAAACAGAGACAAACAATGGTTAAAAGACTTATCCAAAGTCACACAGTAACTAACTAAGGCAGAATTTTAACTCAGGCCTTCCTAACTCTAGGTCCAGCATTCTATCCACTGTATTACTTAGCTAGTAGCTAGTAGGAATAGCTGGGGAGATCACAAAAGACTTCATGTAGAAGGTGGTGCTTCAACTGAATCTTAAAGTTTCCTTCAGGGAAGTTGTAAAGCATCCATTGGGGATTCCAAAAGGCAGGGATGGAAAGACCGTTTGGCCCAGACATGGTAGACAATTAGTGCAAAGATTTAAATATAGGATAAAGAGTATGATATGAAAGGAACAGTGCCAAAGGACAGTATAGCTAAAATTTTGAGCTCATGGAAGTTATTAAAGTATTTTTTAAAAACTCTAAAGGTAGAAAGGACCCAGGTTACGAAGAAATGAAAATGCCAAACAGATTTTCTTTGATCCCAGTGTAAACAGAGAGTCACTGGAAAACTCCAGAGAGTAGGAGGTGGATGACATGGTCAGACCTGTACTTTTGGAAAATCACTTTAGGGCTATTGGAAAGGGGAGACACTTGAGGCAGGGGGTATAAGTTGAAGGCTTTTGCCAACAAAAGGTAATAAGGCCCTGAACTAGGGTGGTGGCCATGTGAGTGGAAAGAAGATGAAATAAGCAAGAGACATTATGGAGACAGAAACAAGATTTGACAGCTGGTTGTGGCATGAGGGACAGTGAGGAGTCAAGGATGACATCAAGATTACAAACCTGGGTTGCTGGAAAGATGTGGAGGGAAGGGTATGAAGGGAAGAGAAAGAAACAAGCATTTATTGAACAGCTTCTATGTACCAGGCACTGCGTGAAGATTTTTAAACTATGATCTTGTTTAATCCTCACCACAGCCCTGGGAGGTAGGTATTACTATTATCCCTTTTACAACTGAGGAAACTGAGGCAGGTAGAGATTAAGTGACTTGCCTGAGATTATACCACTATTAAGTGTCTGAGAATGGATTTGAACTCAAATCTCCCCTGACTCCAGGCTTAGCACGCTATCCACTGGGCTATCCAGCTGGCACAGCGCTCTTAACAATTACAGGTTTTGGAAGAGAAAATGAATTGGGTTGAAGAGAGGAGGGAAATGTAACTTCTTTTTCGGATTTACTGAGTTTGACATGCCTACAGCACATCCATTTCAAATGTCTAGCTTGTCATACAGGACCAGAGCTCAAAAGAATGCTACTCTAACTAAACTAACTGTGTGAACACAAGATGACCTAATATCTCTGGGCTTTAAATCTCCAATCTATAAAATAATAGAGTTGAACTAGATGCTTCTTAAGGTAATTCTTTGAGCTCTTCCAATTGTCTGCCCCCCAGACAAGGCTCAGTTAGTCTTAGTAGTCTTATTTTCTCTCATTTTCTTGTATCTGAATTTCAAAAAACGTTTCCAAAAAAGCAGCACTTGGAATTTTACCTGTCACTTGTGGCCTGAAAAGGAGATGCCTTCCCACAAGGAGCCCCTGCTCTGGACTCAGGTTTAGTCCTCAGGGAGCCTGACTCCAAGGAGAGGCTTTTTCTCATCTCTCTGGGTAAGCATGACTCATATTTATGGTCTCCCCTAAAAGTGATTAACAGGGTCTGTGTACCGATTGTAAAAAGTAGATATCAGGTACTGGGTAACTATTGTCTTTATCACAAAAGAAATTATTAAAAACACAAAAGACTCACAAACAAAGTTATAAAACAATAATCTATTACAACTTTTATATTCTGTTGGGAAGTAAAGACAACTTTGTAGTTGGCTGGAATAGATATATTCACTTTGTATCTGTAATCTCCTGGCAATTCACAGTGTCAGATCCACTGATGAGCTAGGCATGACCCTTTAATCCTTTTAGGTCCTGGATACTGCTGCTGGTGATCATCTTCTCTAAGAAGTATAGTTACAGAAAACTTCTCCCTCAGTGGGGCCAACACTGACTAGGATACTCCCAACCTCTTGAACTCACTACCAGGGCTGAAAAATTCCATTCTGAGGATTATGTTCAGTGATTGGGGCTTAGGGAAAGAAAGACAAAAGTACTTGAGACCCAGTCTCAGGCTCATCTAGGCAAGCACATGTTCTTGCTACCATATGTTCATGTTGTAGTTATTCTTGCTGTTGAGTGAGAAGAGAAGGGAAATTGTTGCTCCCCTCACTGGAAATTCACTGGATCTGTGTACAGAGAGGGTAGTCCAAATGAGATAAGAGGTGGAACCTTTCCACAAGTCATAAAGCCTACTAAACAAGTACATGCCTGCACAGGAATCTATTCCTTTATAATGCTCAGTGTCCAATCTTCTTTGACACAGCCTCCAGGGGGCTGTGTCATAGGGGCACATGGGAACAAATCAAGATTATCATACCCTAAGCAAGAGGCCAATATGTCTAGTGATCCCCAAAACCAAAGTGATGGGTTCACTGCTATATAAGGTGCAATAGAAAATTTGATCCCCAAAGACCTAGTTCTATGACCTAGATCATCAAAAACATGCTGACCCTCACAGAGGAAGAAGCAACTCTGCTGATCTTTTGCCATCTTTCTTGCCACACCCTTCACCCTGTTTCTCAGATCTTTTCTTCAGAGATGAATGTAACTTCCCAAATTTTCTTACTTTACTTGTGGTATGGTATGGCCTAAATATATTATGATCCTTATTACTAGCCTTCATCACTTTCCCTATTTCTGTGTATTTTTAAAAAATATTAAAATAACACTGAACATCAGTGCAAGTAAATAAACTTTCTTTAAGACTAAGGGTAATCTCTCTACTTGCCCATTTTATCCCATTCCATTCCATTGTTTGCAGTGTCTTACTCCAGCAGTCACACCATCTTTATCATACATTTTCATTCTTTCCCTTTCCACTGATTTCTTATCTACAAATATACTCAGTTCTCGCCAGCCTTAAAAAAGAACTCTTTCCTTGACCCTCCTAACCCTTCCAGCTTCTGTTTCATCTTTCTCTTCCCCTTCATTGTTAAACTTGTCTTCTTTTGTCATTTTAAAAAGTTTTTGATGGCCTTTCTTTTTATACAACAATCATTTCCTAATTATTTTTACACTCACATAAAACTCTCACTGCTAAACAATTTTTTTTTAATTGTGTACAAAGATGGCTTCACTTCCTCATTACCTGCTCTATCCCCAAGTTTTTGTAATGTGTCTTCTGCTTCCCAGTGTACTAGTGTTTTCTCTAAGGTCACCAATGACCTCTCAATAACTAAAAGTTGTCAAAGTGGGTGGGAGTTAGACTGAGTCTAAAAGAGCTAAAAAAAAAAAAGAGCAAAGAAATCAAGACTTGTTAATGCAAGTTACTGTTAATATAGTTTTTGGATAAACCTTAACATTCAATAGTTGCATTACCACACCAGTATTCTTATGAACACTAAACAGTTATCTTCCCATTTCTCTTAGAAAAAGAGAGAAGGAGAATTTTATAAATTTCACTGATTTGAATACTTTTTCTTTCAGAGTTGTGGAAAGTAAGAACTCAGCCTTTCCAGTAGGTAGCACTGTGGTGGCTCGTTCTGGATGGACAACCCACTCCATCTCTGATGGAAAAGACCTAGAGACTTTGCTTGCTGAGTGGCCAGACAAGTTACCTATATCTTTGGCTCTGGGGACCATTGGCATGCCAGGGTGAGTCATCTGGATTTGTTTCATTTAATTCAACACAGTAAAATTCAACTGTCCCAGGCTATTAATCTGGGAAAATATGCTTCTCAGAAATGTAAAAATTATCCGAAGGGAAGGGATTTTGTGCTTTGCAAAGCAAAAGGAATGAGAGCAAGAGAAAGACTAGGGGAAATAGGCTTATGCTATTAGATACAGCATAAGGGCTTAGAAGAGGTGAGGAGAAAGTAGGGCAAAGAGATAATAGTAGTAGCATGTAACCTCTAGCACAGGCACTACTGAGAGAATAAGAAAGGGCATGGAAGGTATGGTCAAAAAGATGCACCTGTTAACTGACTTTGTAGCAGTCATTATTACTTAAGCTTTGATGTGCTTTGTGCCTCAGATAGATTACAGTGCAACCTAGCACAAAAGATTTTCTCTGGGACATGTCCAACATACAGAAACACAAATATAGAAACACAGAGAAAGCCACATAAGTAACTAGACTGCCCAGAGTCATATGGCTGTGCCATGAAAAACTCTCTGTTGGCTCTCTAGCTTTCCCTCTTTCTAATACAATTAGTTCTGTAGCCATTGTATAAAGGCAAATTTAGGAATACCAATCCAGAGGCCCAGACTCACCCTGATTACAAGCATCCTGCAGGCAGCCTGTGAGTGTATGGGGGGGGGGGCTGATACTTACACTGGGGTTATATTCAATAGTTCTTGTCATTTCTACCTTCCATGGCTCAATTGCCTAGCCTTCCAAAGTAGCTGTTTCATGTATTTTCTACTTTAAAAAATAAGTAGTGACATCACCATGTCATAAAATTCTCACAAACTGTCTTGGATGACGTCATTGTACTGAGATAATCCCCATTCACTTCTGCCCCCTAAAATGTTCCCTTCCCCTATAACATGTCCTCAGTGAGATCTCTGGGTACCTCCCCTCCTCTCATACCCACACATTTTGCTGACTCCCTGACATACACACACACACGCCAGAAATATATTAAAGAAGTTAAATTTGGCAGAAGTTATGTCAGTCATTGGTTTATGTTTTTAATGTGTCAAATTTGGTTGAAATTAGGTATCCCTCTACCTAATGTTAATAAACTGAGAAAAATGATGAGGTGAAACACAATTATATGATGTAATTGTTTCCATAATTACAGTGTTATAAATGGAAAATTGGATATCAAGTAGTCAAATCAGGCTATAAATGCATAAATGCAGAGATCTGAGACCATAATAGGGGAAAATGAGGAGTAGGCTGGGCAGAGAAGGATTGCTTAGACACAATACCAGATATGATATAGAAACTGGGAACCCCAATTCATCAGAGGGATCTCTGAGGTTTGTAACTCAAAGATGAGAAGTATGTATGAATTTATGTGAAAGTAAATTATCACCAAAGTTAAATAATAATAATAATAATAATAGTGACTTTTATAGCACTTCAAAGTTTTCAAAGTGCTTTACATATGTTATCCCACTTGATCATCACAACAACCCTATGAGTCAGGTGCTATTATTATCCCCATCTTACAGAGGAGAAAACTGAGACTTACAGAGATTAAGTGACTTCCCCAGGATCAGACAGTAGATGTCTGACATGAGATTTAAACTCACATCCCCAAGTCTATTGATCTATTTGATGTACCATCTAGCTGCAAAAGCAATCTGGTGAAGTCCTAGAAAGGGAATGAGAAGACAAACTATCTCTTTCCTCTCCTAGAATCTCTTAAACTCTATTTTAAGATCCAGCTAGAAAACACAGAATGACAGTATCTCAGTGTTGGAAAGAACTTCAGAGTTACAAGTAAGGCATCCAGCCATTGTTTGAAGCCCTCTGGTGAAGGCAACACCATAGCTCCAAAGAAACATCAATTCTACTACAGGATAGCTCTGGTTATTAGCAAGTCAATCAAATCTAAACCTGCCTCTTTGAAATTTCCATCCTTTGGTCTAATTGGAAGGATAAGGAAGGGGGGAATGGAAGGGGAGTGGAACAAGTCTAATCCCTTTTCCAGGTGACAGCCTTTCAAAAATACTGGAAGGCAACATCAGTTGGTACCCCTAACTTTTCCCTTTTTCAGACTAAAGGTCTCCAGTATCTTCTGCAATTCTCATAAGACATGACCTTGTGGCCCCTAATCAATGTCCTTCATGAAATGTGAAATCTAGAAAGTTTTGAATATTGTCTCTCAAAACAAGCATTTGAAATGCCCACAGCTGGATTCAATCCATTTCTCCCAGAGGAACAGAGCAATGGAAAAAATGCTGAGCCCTAGTACAAAAACATTGAAGCTGGAAGACAGTAGATTAGAGCCTGAACTTGTAGGTTTAACATACAAATTTCCCTATTGAAGAGCCTGGAAGACCAGAGCAACAAAAGGGATAGCAACTTTGAACTTGTACAAGTGAGGCAAAAAGCTGTTAAAACTTGAAGATTTTTTTTTCCTTTTCTGTTTTCCTTTATGTTCCAGAAGTAAATAGGTGGAAAATAGCACTTGAAGGCTCTTTGTTATGAATAGAACTCCAACTGTTTATGTAAAGCCTTTAAAATCTTTTGTGGTATTTAATTATCCTAGTGAAAAACAGAGACTGACAGGAATGTGGGGTTTCAGTTCCATTCCCCAAGAGCGTGGCCCTGGGGCGGGACAGCTGCTTCCCGAGCTTCCGGCCCACAGACTGAAGGGGAATCCAGTGGCTGATCAGAGAGGGATCTCTTTGCCAGTGCTCAGGCAGGAATCTCTTGCTTTGCCCCTGTTTGGATCTGGGTCACTGTTCTGGGCGGTGGTGCTGGGGTGAGGAGGAACGCTGGCGTGGTAGAGCTTGGAGTGGCTGTGGAGAGGAACCCTTCCTCACAGTTACAGGACAGAAAGGAATACTTGTGGTCACAGGCCAGGAAAGGAGAAAACACCTCACCCCTTATCATTCCACCTTGCAAGAACTGAAAATTTAGAGGTCCCTACAAGTATCTCTGAAAACAGCTGTACAAACCCCTGAAGCTTGGGACAATACATTCTCCACATTGGAAGCAGACTCTTACCTTAACAAAGAGTTTAAAACTCAAGTAATTGGCTGGGATCATGAGCAAGCAGCGCAAAAAGAGTCAGACCACAGAATTGTACTTTGGTGAAAAAGAAGATCAAAATATACAACCAGAAGAAGACAACAAAGTCAAAGCTCCTACATCCAAAGCCTCCAAGAAAAATATGAATCCGTCCCAGGCCTTGGAAGAGCTCAAAAAGGATTTTGAGAAGCAAGTAAGGGAAGCAGAGGAAAAACTGGGAAGAGAAATGAGAGTGATGCAAGAAAATCATGAAAAACAAGTCAACAGCTTGCTAAAGGAGACCCAAAAAAATACTGAAGAAAATAACACCTTAAAAAATAGCCTAACCCAAATGGCAAAAGAGGTCCAAAAAGCCAATGAGGAGAAGAATGCCCTAAAAAGAAAAATTGGCCAAATGGAAAAGGAAGTCCAAAAGCTTACTGAAGAAAATACTTCCTTAAAAATTAGAATAGAGCAACTGGAAGATAGTGACTTTATGAGAAATCACGACACAGTAGAACAAATCCAAAAGAATGAAAAATTAGAAAACAATGTGAAATATCTCATTGGAAAAACAACTGACCTGGAAAATAGATCCAGGAGAGAGAATTTAAAAATTATTGGACTATCTGAAAGCCATGATCAAAAAAAGAGCCTAGACATCATCTTTCAAGGAAAACTGCCCTGATATATTAGAACTGGAGGGCAAAATAGAAATTGACAGAATCCACAGATCTCCTCCTGAAAGAGATCCCCAAATGAAAACTCCTAGGAATATTGTAGCCAAATTCCAGAGTTCCCAGGTCAAGGACATTAAAGGACCACAGGGCATGGAATATAATATTCCAGAGGGCAAAGGAGATAGGATTAAACCAAGAATCACCTACCCAGCAAAACTGAGTATAATCCTCAGGGGGGAAAATGGTCATTCAGTGAAATAGAGGACTTTCAAGCATTCTTGATGAAAAGACCAGAGCTGAATAGAAAATTTGACTTCCAAATACAGGACTCAAGTGGAACATGAAGAGGTAAACAGGAAAGAGAAATCATAAGAGACTTATTAAGATTGAACTGTTTTACATTCCTGCATGGAAAGATGATGTATATGTAGATAGATAGATAGATAGATAGATAGATAGATAGATAGATAGATAGATAGATAGAGAGCACAGGGTGAGTTGAAGATTAAGGGGTCATATCTGGAGAATAAAATTAAGGGATGAGAGAGGAGAAGAAGAAAGGGAGAGGTAGAATGGGGTAAACTATCTCACAAAAAAAAAACAGAAAGAAAAGTCTCTTACAGTGGAGGGGAAACAGGAAGGTGAGAGAGAATGAGTGAATCTTATTCTCATAGGATTTGGCTTAAGGAGGGAATAACAAACACATTTAATTGGGTATGCAAATCTGTCTTACCCTACAAGAGAGCAGGGGGATGATAGAGAGGAGGGTAGATTGGGAAAGGGAGTATTCAGAAGTAAATACCTCTGAGGAGGGACAGGGTCAAAAGAAAGAATAGAATAAATGGGAGGGCAGGATAGGAGTAAGGGAAATAGAGTTAGTTTTTCACAACATGTCTACTATGGACGTGTTTTGCATAACTGCACGTGTACAACCTATATTGAGTTGCTTGCCTTTTCAATGAGGGTGGGTGGGGATGGAGGAAGAGAGAAAATTTGAAACCTAAAGTTTTAAAAACATATGTTTTTAAAAAATGTTTTCACATGCTACTGGGAAATAAGAAATACAGGAAATGGGGTACAGAAGTCTATCCTGCCCTACAGGAAAATAGAAGGGGAAGGGGATAAGAGAAGGGGAGAGAGATAGAAGAGAGGACAGACTAGGGGAAGAGGTATTCAGAATGCATGCCATCTTGGGGTGGGAGGAGTGGGGAGATGGGGTATAAATTTGGAATTCAAAAACTTGTGGGAGTGAATGTTGAAGCTAAAAATAAATAAATTTATATTAAAAAATTTTTTTAAGTTAAAAAAAAAAGTAAAAGAAAAACAGAGACTGAAACTGAGATACCAGGATGACTTCTGATCCATTAAAGCATGTTGCAATTGGTACTTGAATTGTTAATGACATTACTGTGAAATAACAGATTTCTGTGGAATATGCTTTTATTTCTAAATGGCTTACTAGCAGTTTCTAGACACCAGTATTCTAATATTTAAATGCACAATTGTTTCTAAAAAGAACACCCATCATCTATCCTGGGAATCATAAAGGGGTGCATTAGAGGACATAATAAAAGATTAATAGCATGAGGGAATACCAAGTAAAGATTGCTTTTTCTATATCTACTTCCCTTTTTTCCTTCCCCTTCTCCTCTTCCCATTCATCCCATCCATCCCATCCCTTCATGAACTAAAGCGAAGAGACTTTTATTGCTTTATTTGATTAATGAAGTCCATACATTGCAGTTACCAGGATGTTTGCTTGCCTCTCCTCAGCTTAACAGCCTACTTTGGGCTCCTTCACATCTGTGCTCCGAAGGAGGGAGACACTGTGATGGTCAATGCAGCCGCAGGAGCAGTGGGCTCAGTGGTAGGACAGATTGCCAAGATCAAAGTAAGTGATAGGACAAGTCACTTTGCATGTCAGGGCCTCATTTACCTCATCTGTAAAGTGAAAGGATTGGCTAATGTTTTCCTTAAGATCCCTTCCAGTCTGGAAATTCAATGACTGTGAAGCTATTATTCCATCATTCATTTCAAATAGAAGAGATCATTTACCCTGTCAAAATATGAATTGGAAGAGAGGGACCATGGGGAATCAGATCCGAGTCCTTTTAAGATAAATTATATGCTGTTATTTGTGAAATCATCACACTCAAGTCCAAACTGTATTTCTCTAACACAGGAGTCCTTAGTCTTTTTTGTGTCCTGGGATTGGCAGTCTGGCGATGCCTGTGGACCCCTTTTCAGAATGCTTTTAAGTGACTAAAAATAAAATACATAGGATTTCAAAGGAAATCACTACCTTGGTCATTTCACTTTTTTTTTTTAAGTAAGGGCATATTCAACACTCTAACAGCCTACCAAAGAGATGGTGGCATCTCTGTTCTGGGGTTTTGTTGCATGAACAAGCCCAACAATAAAGTATTGAATAATCTTGAATGGTACAGGCCTCGCATTGCCTCCTGGTTGGAAGATTCTATGAATACTTAAAATTTCTAAAGCCTTTTTCTTCCAAAGAAATGGAGCTGCTATTTAGAGTGACTTGGAATTCTTCTGGGGCTAGGTAAGATTGAGTTATAGGCCATCTTTGAGTCTTTTAAAAAAGTAAGTAGTTTCTTTTTCTCCTTTTCTCTTTAGGGCTGCAAAGTGGTTGGCTCTGCTGGCTCAGATGAAAAGGTTGCATTCCTTAAAAAAGTTGGTTTTGATGTTGCCTTTAACTATAAGACAGTAGGATCTTTAGAAGAAACACTGAAGAAAGCTTCTCCAGATGGCTATGATTGCTATTTTGACAATGTAAGTCCAAATCATTTTCACCAAAGAGGGCATCACCTTAACCCATCACAACAAAGCACTGCGCCTGGGTAGACATTTCATGGATCCTCATATGTGGAAGAGAAGAAAGTTGTAGAAAGGGTTGTATGAGGGTTTTACAAAGTCTCATTAAGCTTGTTCCCATGCCCTTGTGTGGGACAAAGGAATGAAGATTTCTCCTGTGATTAATCCAGAGAGCTGTTATAGAAATTCAAATCCATTCTCAGGGAGCCAGTAGCTTTGATTTGCCTGTGAAGTAAAAATTATTCATAAACTTTATATTTGGGAGACTTTGAGGGGATTTTGCAATTATTTCAGAAAAACCCAGAAGGTAGACAATTCCTGGTGTACTTGAAGAGTCCTTCTATGAGAGAGAAACCTCCAACTTTGCCCTGCCTCTCTGGTGTGGGAAGTCTCAGTTTCTACTATGGAAGCCTTTCAGCCCCAACCCATGACAGGTTCCACCCACAGGACCACTTAAAGAATTGGACATAAGAATGAACCTTTAAAAAAAATTTATTTATTTCTGAGGTTTTATATATAGCTGTTTCAGTGAATGCTAATGCATCTCTGCAGTGGAAGTTGCACTTAGTAAGTGCTTAAGACATATGAAAATTAATGAAGTCATGATACAACTCATCTCTATTCACAGAATCTCAAGAGTTGGAAGTTATCTCAGAGGCCATCTAGTCTAACCTATCCTTCAGAAGGAATCCCCTTTACAGCATCCATGGTCATCCAATCTCCACTCAAAGATCTCTATTGATGATCTCTATTGTTATCTGCTATATATCTCGAGGTAGCCCATTCAACTTTTAAGCAATTCTATTTGACAAGAAGCTCTTCATCACATCAAGGCAAAATCTGCCTCTTTTCAAGGCATTTTTTTCCTAGTTCTATCCTCTGTAGTCAAACAGAACAAAGCTAGTCCCCTTTTGTTCAGCATTTCAATTGTGTTCAACTCTTTGTGACCCCATTTAGGGTTTTCTTGGCAAAGATACTTGGAGTGGTTTGCCATTTCCTTCTCCAGTTCGTTTTGTAAATAAAAAACTAGGGCAAACAGGGTGAAGTGACTTGCCCTAAGTCATACAGCTAGTAAGTGTCAGAAGCTGGATTTGAACTCAGGAAGATGAGTCTTCCTGGTTTCAGGCCTGGCTCTCTATCCACTGTACCACCTAGCTTCCCCTATAACTATCCTTCAAATATCTAAAAGCTATTGTGTCCCACTTTTACCCTTCAAGTGTTCTCTAAGTCAAACATTCCTAGATACTTCAATAGGTTCTAATATGGTATTGTCTCCAGGAACTTACCATCCTGGTCACCTCTTCTGGATACAATTTCATCTTCTCAACATTCTTAAAATTTGGTACCCAGAATTTAACACAATATTTCAGATATAGTCTGACCAAGGCAAAGTATAACAGTGCTATCAACTCCTTCATTATAGACATGATATATAGCTATCAATGAAGCCTAAGATACAATTGGCTTTTTGTTCTCTCTTTCCATGTCATGCTTTGCTTTTGATGACTATTGAGCTTGAATTCATTAAAATTCTCAGACTTTTTCCCTCAAAAATTTATCCTCATTAGGTTTCATCTCATTAGATTTGGCCTATCACTCTAACCTATCAAGAATTTCTGAGATCCTGAATCATCCTGTAAATGTGTTAGCTATGCCTCCTAGCTTGTGTCATCAAATCATTAAACATTCATTAAGTGCCTACTATATGCCAGGCACTGTGCTAAACCCTGGGGATATAAAGAAAGAAGAAAAAAATTCTTGCCTTTAAGGTGCTTAAGGTGTCAAGAAGACAACATGAAAATAACACTATGCAAACAAGATGTATGAGGGTCAATTATGAGAAAGTCTTTTTACAGAAGACAGGATTTTACTGAGACCCGAAGGAAGAGACAAAAGAGGAGAAGATTTCAGGCTAAAATGTTCGTAAGCATGAAACATTATGTTTTCATCCATTTCATTGACAAGTGCAAGGTCAAGGGTAGTTCCCTGAGGAACTCTAGAGACCTCTCTCTTGATGTCTCATTAACAACTACTCTTTGGGTGCAATCATTCAACTAGATCCAAGTCTGCCTAAAGCTATTGTAATCTAACAGTCATCCATTCACCTTGTCTACAAGTATAATATGAGAAAAATTACCAAGTGCTTTGCTGAAATACAGATATACTATGTCTTTGCTGATCTATCAATCAAATTACCATGTAAGAGATATATGATGATAAGTTAACATATTCCTAATGAAGTTCTGTATGCTTCTCTTCTATATGCATATAAATCATCCTTTTAACCATGCATAACACTGCCGTCTAGAATTTTGCTAGGAATCAAATTTAAACTCACTGGTCTACAGTTTGGAGAAGCTAGGCTATTTCCTTTTTAAAAGAAGAACATCTGTTCATCTCCATTCTCTGGCTTATGTAAGGAAAGAAATGTTTCTAGACAAAGTGGAAGAAACATCCCAGCAAGGAAGCCAGAAAAAAATAATCCTGAGGTGATGGAGATAAATCAGTATTAAGAGGAAGATGAATAAAAGCACATGGTGAACAAGCAAAGAAAAACAGACAGAGAAACTCTGAATTATTCTATGCATTCTAAGATTGAATCCCCAGAGGACAGATGCTATTCCCTGGTTCTAAAGGCTCCTTGCCTTTCCTATTTATGTATGACCTTCAAAAGAAAGAGGTCATATGATAGAGAGCTGGCCTTTGAGCTAGAAAGCCCTGGGTTCAAGTCTTATCACTGACACACACTGGCTGTCTGATTCTAGACAAGTCACTTAACCTCTAATGTTTTAGGCTACTGCTAAAATTATAACTTGCAAGGAAGGTGCCAACTTGACTTAATAGAGGAAATTCCCTTATCTGGAAGTTCTCTATAAGAATTAAAACTTAGGTCTAGTCCCTATCCCTAACCCAATAACCTTGGGTAAATCACCAAATCTCTAAACTAAGGAGGCTGGACTAAATGATCTTGAAGGTCTCTCCCAGATCTAAGTTCTATGAGCCTATGAAGTCCAGAATATGTTAAACATATAAATTAAGAGGTAATGAATCACTTGGTCAAAATAATTCACTGAAATGTTCTATTAAAACCAGGCAGTGCTGTTACATTTTCACAACTACAGAATTTAATTCAAAAAATTAATTTCACTTAAAGAAATCTGATTTCGAGGCATCTAGGTGGCACAATGCATAGGGCACTGGCCCTGGAGTCAGGAAGACCTCAGATACTTACTAGCTGTGTGACCTTGGGTACATCATTTAACCCCTATTGCCTCCAAAAAAAAAACTGATTTATACATATCCTTTTGGGAATAAGCCTATTGTATGAATCAAATTATCCATTAAAAAAATTGGTTTTCTGTGTGCAGTACCCACTCTGGGATATTCTTCCAACTTGAGCTCATCTTCCAAGGTCTACCCCCCAGAGGGCAGTTGCTACTCCTATTCTCTAAAGTATCCTCTGGGTCTGAACTTCTGCCACTATAGCCATGAACTCCCACTGGTGTACTTCCCATTGTGCCAATATACACAATGAGCTCTTAACAAAAGTTTTTAATAAGATGGCATAGCAAAAACATTAGCTACAAAACATTCCTCCAATAAGCCTGGATCATACTCTCACAGAAAACCACGTATCAGAGTGAGGATTCTGGAAGATGATGGAGTAGGTCAGAAAATTCCAAGCTCTCCAATTTTCCCCCACAGACAAGACAAAATAGTGCTTCAGGGTGAACATAGAATGGTAAAAGTAAACGAGAGTTGTGGCAGAACAGTAGTCCTCCTGGGACAACCAGGAGAAGACTGGAGGAAAAATCCTAGGACCAAGGTTTGGTCCCTGTGAAGTGTAAACACCTCCAGGCTAGTTCTGCTGAAACAGCAAGTGGTGAGCCCTGGGGCTAGCTGGGTTAGAAGGTAGTCTCAGCCCCACCCATAGGAATTTTTACCTCCTGGACAGTGTGAGGAGTCAGGTATCTGAGCTGGGGAAGATTGAGGGAACCTTTGCTGATAAACGATGGCAGACCCAGCTGTGCTACCCAGACATGGCCCTGGATGAGAAGGAACCAGCATACCCCTGGTGAGTGCAAAAGCAGTGGGGTGGGAACACTGCTGGCTGTGGGGACTGACAGGAGAGCAAAGTTTTTGGTTTTGGTTCCAGGCCATAGGGGAGAACTGAAGGAATGTCTAAAGCCACAGGCACCATCCCCGATGCCCCAGGAATACAGGTGATTACAACAAGAAGCTGCTACAATTTTTTTTTAAATGAGCAGGCAAAGGAGAAAGAACTCAACTACATAAAGTTACTAGGGGAATAAAGGAGACTGGGGTTCATCTTCAGAGGAGGATACTGAAGCAAACTAAGCAAAGAGTAATGTCAAAAGGTCACCTGCCCTGAAAGAATTCATAGAACTTTTAAAAGACTTTAAAAATCAAATGAGAGAGATTGAGGGAAATTTTTTTTAAAATAAGAACAATCCAAGAAAAACAAGAAGATTATGAAAAGAAAGTAAACCAACTGGAAAAGGAGATCCAGAATCTTAAAGAAGAAAATGACTCCTTGAAATGAGAAGTGGGCAAGGGAAGCTAGCAAAGTTATAAGAGACCAAGAAAAAATAAAACAAAATATAAAGAATGAAAAAAAATAGAAGAGAATGTGAACCATCTCGCAAGAAAAAGAACTGATCTGGAGAACAGATCAAGAAGAGAAAACATAAGAATAAGCAGACTACCTGAAAGCTGTGATCAAAAAAAAGAAAAAGAATCTTGATACAATAATACAAGAAATAATTAAAGAAAATTGTCCTGAAACCTTAGAATAAGAGGGAGAAGTAGAAATAGAAAAAAATTCATCAATCACCACCTGAAAAAATCCTACGAGGAAAACCTACAGAAATATCATAGTCAAATTCTGACACCCTCCAGCTTAAGGAGAAAATAGTTTGAGCTACAAGAAAAAAAAAGAATTTAAATACGGTAGAGCCACAGTTGGAATCACACAAGACCTAACAGCAGTGACCCTTAAAGACCCATGGGTCTTGGAACACTGTATATTGAAGAGCAAAAGAACATGGTTTGTGGCTGAAAATATCATACCCAGCAAAGTTAAGCATAATCCTCAATGAAAAAAAAGTGAATATTCAATGAATTGCCAGACTTTCATGATTTTGTTGCCAAAAAAACCTTGAACTTAATAGAAGATTTGACACACAAGATCTAAGAGAAATATAAGGTACACATCAAAGACTAATCACAAGGGACTCAATAAGGACAGACTGTTGACTTTTTATATGAGGAAATATAAAATATATGTCTAAGATTTTTATTAGTAATTGGGTAATTTGAAAGAAAGATTGGGGTAGACCTGAGTATGATGTGATTCTAAAAATTAAGACAATTTAGGAAAAGGTAAAAAAAAGTTATGATCTTATACAAATGAGGTGTGAGAGGAAGAACTTTCACAGAGAAATTAGATGGGGCAGGAGGGCTGGTAGTTGTGAAACCCTACTCTCATCAGGAATGGGTGAAAGAGGGAACAACACACACACATATGTATGTATATATGTATAAAAATCTTCTAAATTCAGAAATAAATAAATAGGCTAGGAGATAGGAAGGGGGGAGATAATAAAAAAGGGATTTTTAGAGGGAACCCTACTCACATCAGATCTGGGTTAAAGAGAGAACAATATATACATTTAGAAAGGAATAAGAGTCTTCTAAAGTTAGAAAGAAATAAGAGGGTAAGGGAATAGGATAAAGGGGGATAAAATTATCCTAGATTATTATCCTAGAATTATCCTAGATTAACAGGAATGGGATATGTGAGTGTGTGTGTGTGTGTGTGTGTGTGTGTATGTATTTGGAAGGCTATAAAAGTCTTCTAAATTCAGAGAGAAACAAGACAGTAAGGGGAAAGCATGGGGGTGGGTAATGGATAAGGGAGCAATCTTTGGTGGGGGTAGGGTAAGTAATAGGAGGGCAAGGTAGCATGTAGAAGTAAAGTAGAACAGTGAGGAGGAATAGGAAATAAGAGATACAAATACAAAATAAAGATCAGGAGTAGATTTATTAGGAAAAAGAGCAGGGATAGTAACCATGATCTCAGACAAAGTTAGAGGTAAAATAGACTTAATCAAAAGAGAAAACTAGGGAAGCTACTCTATAAGTCAGCCATATTAATCAATATTGCTTTAGACTATTTAAAATAACTAGTCAGTACAAGGTTGGAATGTTGCTGTAGTGTAGGAAATGATGAGTTGGTGGACTTAGAAAAATATGGAAAGACTTGGACTGATGAAGGAAGATGTGTGATAGCCACCTTCAGAGAAACTAAAGACAAACAAGTATAGTACGGTCTTACATTGATATGTATGAATGTATATATGTATATATGAGTATAATTATAGATATCTAAGTATATGTATGTGTATGTAAGTGCATGTGTGTATGTGTATATGTATGTATATATATATGTTTGTGTGTATATGTATTATGTGTGTTTATGTGTATACACACACATACACACACACTTGTAGACTTGGAGGGGGAGGGGAAAAAAGAACAAAGTAAAAAGTACACAGCACAGAACAAAAGAAAACTTACAAGGAAACAAAGAAAAGATGGACAGCTCTGAACACATGTGTAGTATTTATTATATAAGCCTTTTTTTGAAATGGAAATTTATTGCTATATATTTTGAATCCTCTCTTACATTCTGCTGTTCACATAGTAATGCTTTTTTTTCTTTTCTTCTTTTGTATTTAAGTTTTAGCATTTAAGTTTATAATGTTTCTTTTTATTTTCTTATTGTGCATTTCAGTTTCAGCATTTAAGTTTACAATAAATTAATTTAAAAAATAAAAAAAACCACATATTTATGGGAGGAGTAGGTATAAACTTTGAATATGCTGGAGGTGAGGAATATGTGAAGGGAACATGTGTCTGAGCTGACTCACATTTCCAGAACTTCAGGGTCTTGGTGTCCATTCTATCCCAGTGGAGTCCTTATTATCAGGAGTTAACCCCCAATCAAAACATCTCAGCTAGAAGTGCTACTCAGCTGTGTTCCCAGAGTTTGCTCCTCTCTAGATTGCTGGCACTATTGCTCTAGAGTTCATAACCAGCCAGGAGTCATACTCCTTGACACTACTTCGTCCCCTGTGTGACTGCCTTGCCATATCCATGTCTGATCAGAGGGAGTGTTTTTGTTCCCATAGGCACGTGCCAAACTCTGTACACCTGACTCTATAGTTGGTGAGTGGGATGTTCCTTCTGACAGAGTGGCCTTGCTGCTATGTCCATGGAGAAAGAGAGAAACATCTCTTCCCTGAAATAGAGGTCTCTTTCATAGGAAGCTTTCATCCTACATTCACCTAAACTACTGAACTCAGCTAGGACTTAACTGTTTAACTGCTGAAAGCCCTGCAAACGAGTGTTTAATATTAACTTATTGAAGAAGAATATTCACACTTCACATAGGGATCAGAGAGTATTAATACCTTATTAAACACATTAAATAAATCTTACCATCTGAGACCATTTCCCACAATTACATCAACTGGGTTAGCTGGTTGTTGTCCATCATTCTCAAAAAGGACCAAAATGACATTACTATGTTAGAGTCAAATTATAGTGTATCCGTCTATGGCTGATCAGACCTATACGAGCTCTGAATGCTCTACTGTAGGTAGGGCACAAATATGAGAACACTTGGAATGGATTCTCTAAATTTATGCATTTCAAGTTTCTTTTGAGCTATTTCAATTCTGCTTTGCTCATAGAGCATATCACCCTCTCTGATGAGGTCAGTCCCTTGATAGGCAGTCCTGTGCCAGTGTCTCCTATATCACACAATTCCAAGTTCTTAAGAGAGATCTTGAGAGTGTCCTTGTATCACTTCTTCTGACTACTATGTGAGCATTTGCCCTGTGTGAGTTCTCCATAAAATAATCTTTTTGGCAAACGTATGTTTGGCATCCAAACAACATGGCCAGCCCATAGGAGTTGCATTCTCTGCAGTAGAGTTTGAATGCTTGGCAGTTTAGTTTGAGAAAGTACCTCAGTCTGCTATTTTATCCTGCTAGGTGATCTTCAGAATCTTCCTAAGACAATTCAAATGGAAATGATTCCATTTTCTGGCATGCAGTTGGTATAATGTCCAGGTTTCACAAGTGTACAACAATAAGGTCAGCACAACTGCGTAGACCTTCAGTTTGGTAATAGAGTGTGTTCAAAGAAGACTAGTACTTCTGGTTTGAGGACTGCAGAGCCCTTATCAGAGCTGCTTTCCACCTTTGGAGTCCGCCTGATTCACTTAACTCTCACCTATGGCTACAAGAAGCTGTAGCATGCACAGCAGCCATCCCCTGGGAAATCATTTTGGCAGACAGGCAAAATCAAGTGAGAAGAGGGGTTAAGACTAAATGTCCTTTCCATTACATGTATATCATAGATAATTCACAAATCTTATGAATGAGTGTTTGAACATAACACTCTGGTCATAGAGTTCTAGAGCTACCCACAGAAGGCATGCTAAAAATGCACTCGCTGGCTAGAAGAGGAAAGACAAATTACTGCTCTATTCTTCTACTATTTTGTTAAGTCAATAACTACTTGGGAATCTCAGTGGCCATAAGACAGGAATTACACTGATACTTGTAAATATTGATCTTTACTCTGGTTTTGTCTTTGATGCTTTAGGTAGGTGGAACATTTACAAATGCAGTTATCCCCCAGATGAAGAAATTTGGAAAAATTGCTATATGTGGAGCCATTTCCACGTACAACAGTGAAGAGCCTCAACAAGGTAAGGTAATAACGTACAGTCACAGATGTGGGTTGAACAAGTAAAATTGCATGAACATGATAATATGCCCATACCTTTGGGCATGGATAATTGTGTTATAGGAAATAACTCCATTTTAAAATAAGCTTCTATTGTGGTATAAACAGGCAGCTATGTTTAACCACATCCTTCATCCCAGTTCTTGTGTAAAGGAGAGTCAAAAAACAAGACAATCTAGCCTTTCTCAGACTTCTGAGGTCAAAAACAGACTAACAAATTAGAAAGTATCTGACTGATCCTCTGAAATATAACAAAATATCCCCGAGGCCAGTTACTTACCAACTTAAACCCAGAATGACTATGTATTAGCTGTATACTGTAAGTAGCTGTGGAAAATCGTTTGCATTGAAAAACTATTTGCCTTATAAGGATGAACCTTCCCAGTGGACTAATTGATCTTTCTCTTTGCTTTGGGTTGTCACTATAGATAAAATAAATTCCAAATTGTAAACAGTTTTATTGCCATGAGAGTTTAATCCATATCAGCATTTCCCCAAAACACCATCCTATCTGATTGTTCCATTCACCTCTTCGTTTCTGACTGTGGTCAACAACAAGGCCTCTGGCTTCCTCCCTTCCCTTTCTCTACCTCCTATTTCTAATTTCTCTTTTGAATGGAGTAGGGGGAAACAATATAGAATAAGGAAAGTCTCATTCTCTTCTTTGACATTTCTCTTACCTTTAAAAGGTCTCTTTCAATTTAATTTAATGGCTATTTTAGGAACAACTCTGACCACTTGGCTTATTTTGACCTCTTTTCCACTTAAAGAATACTAATGCCTCTCTCAGTGAACCTGGAGCAGTCCTAAGGGGATTGAATCAAGGGGAGTTGTGTCAGTTTCTAGACTTCTCAACCCACAAACACCAAAGACAATTTAGAAGGTCAGTAGGAAAGGTCTGTCAGACCTCAGTGAGGGAGGAGCTAAGTCAGGCCCCAGTACTGGTATAGCCCCAGGGTGGCAGCTATCTCAGGAGCCCTTGGCCTATAGACAGAGGGGGAATCTAGTGGCTGATCAGAGGGGCATTGCAGGGATCTCTTTGCTGGCACTGAGGCAGGATTCTCTTGCTTTACCTGTACTTGGATCTGGGTCCCAGCTCTGAGTGGCACTCCTGGGGTGAGAAGGAGTGCTGGGATGGTGGAGCTTGTGGTGGTGGTAAAAAGGGAATCCTTCTCACAGTTCCAAGGCAGAAAAGAGTGCTTATGGTCACTCATAGACCAGAGCACAGGCCAGGAAAGGAATAAACACCTCGCCCTTGATCGTACCACCTTGGAAGAACTGAAAATTTACAGGTCCTAGAAGTATCTCTGAAAACAGCTGCACAAAACCCCCCAAAGCTTGGGACAGTACATTATCCACACTGGAAACAAACCCCTACCTTAACAAAGAGTTTAAAACTCAAGTAATTGGCTAGGGACATGAACAAACAGCACAAGAAAAATCAGACCATAGAATCTTACTTTGGTGACAAAGAGATCAAAATATACAACCAGAAGACAATAAAGTCAAAGCTCCTACATCCAAAACTTTCAGGAAAAATGTGAATCAGTCCCAGGCCATGGAAGAGCTCAAAAAGGATTTTGAGAAGCAAGTAAGAAGAGTAGAGGAAAAACAGGGAAGAGAAATTAGATTGATGCAAGAAAATCATGAAAAACAAGTCAACAGCTTGCTAAAGGAGACCCCAAAAATACTGAAGAAAATAACACCTTAAAAAATAGCCTAACCCAAATGGCAAAAGAGGTACAAAAAGCCAATGAGGAGAAGAATGCCTTAAAAAGCAGAATTGGCCAAATGGAAAAGGAAGTCCAAAAGCTTACTGAAAAAAAATACTTCCTTAAAAATTAGAATGGAGCAAATGGAAGCTAGTGACTTTATGAGGAATCAAGAAATTGTAAAACAAAAGCAAAAGAATGACAAAATAGAAGACAATGTGAAATATCTCATTGGAAAAACAACTGACCTGGAAAACAGATCCAGGAGAGATCATTTAAAAATTATTGGACTACCTGAAATCCATGATCAAGAAAAGAGCCTAGACATCATCTGTCAAGAAATTATCAAGGAAAACTGCCCTGATTTTCTAGAACCAAAGGGTAAAATAGAAATGGAAAGAATCCACTGATCACCTCCTAAAAGAGATCCCCGAAGGAAAACTCCTAGGAATATTATAGCCAAATTCCAGAATTTCCAGGTCAAGGAGAAAATATTGTAAGCAGCCAGAAACAAACATTTCAAATCTTGTGGAAACACAATTTCAGGCTTCTATATTAAGAGACTAGAGGGCTTGGAATATAATATTATGGAGGTCAAAGGAGAGAGGATTACAACCAAGAATCACCTACCCAGCAAAACTGAGTATAATCCTTCAGGGGAAAAATGGATATTCAGTGAAATAGAGGACTTTCAAGCATTCTTGATGAAAAGACCAGAGCTGAATAGAAAATTTGACTTTCAAATACAAGACTCAAGAGACGCATGAGAAAGTAAACAGGAAAGAGAAATCATAAGGGACTTATTAAAGTTGAACTGTTTACATTCCTGCATGGAGATGATATTTGTACCTCATGAGACCTTTGTCAGTAGTAGGGTAGTTGGAGAGAAAAAAATTATGTGGATAGATAGATAGATAGATAGATAGATAGATAGATAGATAGATAGATGGCACAGGGTGAGTTGAAGATGAAGGAGTGATCTCTAAAAATAAAATTAAGGGGTGAGAGAGGATTATACTGGGAGAAGGAGAAAGGGAGAGGTAGAATGGGATAGATTATCTCACATAAAACAGACAAGAAAAAGCTTTTACAGTGGAGGGGAAGTGGGGGAAGGTGAGAGGGAATGAGTGAATCTTATTCTCATCAGATTTGGCTTAAGGAGGGAATAACATATACACTCAATTCGTTATGGAAACCTATCTTACCCTATAGGAAAATGGAGGGGGGGAAGGGGACAAGAGGGAGGACGATGGTAGAAGGGAGGGCAGATTGGGGGAGGGGGTAACCAGAAGCAAACACTTCTGAGAAGGGACAGGTTTAAAAGAGAGAATAGAATAAATGGGGGGAGTAGGATAGGATAAAAAAAAAGAATAGTAATGCCTCCTTTCCAAAATATGGGATGACATGCTAAGAGTCTTCAAGTATATGAAAAGGCTTTATTTGCCCAGAGGGTAGTAAGCAGTTGTTTTTCCTCTCTACTGAAGATAGAATGAAATGGAACCAAATGAAGCAGAAGCAAATTAATTTAGGTAAAAGAAAGAATTCTCTAAAAACTAGATAGCGGAGGTAAGACTAGAAATAAAGTAGGAAGTTACCTACAATGCAATATGCTAGGAGTGAGGTAGAGGGGAAAAGATACTAGAAGGCACAAGGAGGAGCACTTCTCAATATACTTTTTATAAATGCATGTTTTTAATGTCAGAAAATTCTGCTATCCTGGTTATTTTGTTAAGAAAGTGCCAAGCCCCCTATCACAATAGGAAAGGCATTTAATGGGCCCATAGGGGACACAATTTTCAAACTTTCCCCTAGAGTACATAGTCCTAGCTATGGTGATAGGAGCAGAGACTGGGCCTGTGATTCCATAAACATAGGGAACTTTCAGGTGAGGAACTCCCTTGACCAATATAGATTAGCACTTTCTCTGAAACTTATAGTGAAGAGAGTTGCCTGGAGTACTAAGAGTTTACGTGTTGCCCAGAGTCACTCAGTCAGTCTGTGTAAGAGGTGGAACTGGAACCCAGGTTTTCCTGGCAAGGTGGGCTCTCTGTGCACTGCTACAAGCTGCCCCCAAGCTATGGTACAAGGGGCCAAAGACTGTAGCTAGCAGGTGACTCAGGTGGCTTGTTCAATTTCTCTTCTCAGAGTTATTTCAGGCCCTCTACAATTTGTTTTTACCTTTTCAGGATTATTTCATACTATTCTCCTTTGCAAACTCTACATTCCAGACCAACTGGACTACTAACTTGTCCTTCAACTCAACACTCCATCTCCTATCTTCATGTATTCACACAAATTCAGAAAGTACTCCTTTATCATCTCTGCCTCTCAGAGAAAGTATATATGGAATGATTTTACATATATATGTTTATAAATATACATATATATACATATATTACATATTTGTGTCTAATGGTAGCCATCTGTAGGGTAGAAATGGGGAAGGAGGGAAGAAAAAAAGGAAAAAAAGATAACTTTATTATATATTTAAAAGGAATAGCAAGTTGTATATAATAGATTTGCAGTTTCATGTACAATCATCTTTTTTATTATACTATGTTATAGGAATACTGGTTTTATTCCACAAATTAAAAATTAAAAAATTTAATACCTTTGTTTTTAAAACCCTTTGTAAAGCCATCCCTGATTCCCCAAGGTATTAGGGCTCTTTCTCCCTCTATTTTCCTTATTTGTAAACATGTTGTATTTCCTCTCCCCCCTCCCAATAGAATATAAGCCCTTTGAAGTCAGGGACTGCTTCCATTTTGTCATCATATCAATCAGCAAGCATATAATAAGTAAATACTATGTGCTAGGCACTGGTGGAACATACTGGTGGAACATAAAGACAAAAATAAAAACAGTCCCTCCCCTCATGGATCTTATAAGCTTTGACGAAGGCAACAAAAAACTAAGTATGCAAAATTAAAATCAGGTTAATTTAGGGCAGGAGGAGGCACTAGTAATTAGAAGCTCAGGGAAATTAAGACAGGGCTCCTGTAGAAAGTGATACTTGAGTAGAGCTTTGAAGGAAGTTAGGGATTCTAAGAGGCAGGGCTGAGGAGGGAGTGCATTCACAAGCACAGGAGATAGGCTATGCATAGGTCTGAGAAAGGAAACAGTGTCATATAAAAATAGCAAGAAGGCCAGATTATTAGGACTGAAGATTTAGTGGAAAGCAACATATTATAAGGCTGGAAAGGTAAGCTGGAGCCAAATTGTGAAGGGTTTTAAATCCCAAATAGAGGAGTTTGTTTGTTCAGGCCCTCCTAGTGGTAATAGGAAGCCCCTGGAGTTTATTGAGGGACATGGCTAAACCAATAAAGGATGGATTAGAAAGAGGGAAAACACAAGGCAGGGAGACACCCAGATAAGAGAGAACGAGGAGGTGAACCAGGATGGCTATGTAAATAGGAAGAATATTTGAAAAAGAAAGAAACAAAGTTCAAGAGATGCTGTGGAGGTAGATATGATAAGATTTGGCAACTAAATGGATATGTGGACAGTGAGGAGCTAAGGATGACTCTGAGATTGTGAATGTGAGCAATTAAAAGGATGGTGGTAACTTTGACAGAAACAGGCAAGTGAGGCAGAGGGGTAAGTTACGGGAGGTGGAAATAACAAGTTCTGTTTTGGACATTTCCCTAGGTGTTTAATAAATGTTTATTGATTTGGATTGAAGTATAATAACCTAGAGAACCACTTGCCTGAGATTCTTTGTAGTAATGATCAGACAATCTCCACAGTTCTCTTTCAGTGGTCTGGTTTTATGCTACAGTGCAAGTCAGCCACTGACAACCCAAATAAGAAACAACCACACTCCTACACCAATTAAGAGGCTTATCCACCCCACTTAACCTTTATTTGGGCTCTTTGTGTAGCTGGGCAACAATTTTCCTAGAAGTAATTAGAAGATAATGATACTAATCTTTTAAAAAATTGTATTTAATATGCTTTAACAAGGCCCTTTGTCTTTATCTCATAGTAATTTCTGGGTAAGAGAAAGAACACTGGGCCTGGAGTCAAGATGACCTGAGTTCAAATCCAGACTCAGATATTTACTATCTGTGTGACTCTATGTTTCCTCAACTGCAAAATGAGGATAATTATAGTACCAACCTCACATGGTTGTCGTGAAGATCAAATGAGATAATATTTGTAAAGTGCTTATCACAGTGCCTGGCACACAGTAAGCATTATATAAATGGTTCTCGCTTTCCCTACCCACTCCAGCTTATAACATCCATTATGCCAAAGAAAAACTTTTAAGGAACACTCTTACCAGCAGAGTAACTGAATCTCACAATGCATATAACATTCTGCCCTCGTAGTCCTCTGCCTCTGATATAAAAAGAGAAGCATGTTTCTTTAACTGTTCTCTAGAACCATCCCTGGTTTTTCACTTATTAGGAATTTAGCTTACTTTTAATGATCTTTTATTTACATTGTTGTAGTTATTATTTATATTATTCTTTTGGTTCTGCTCATTTCACTCTGTGCCAGTTCATTGAAAACTTCCCATGTTTCCCTGAACTCCTCATATCTGGCATTTCTTGCCATGTGATAATACTATACTACATTCATATACCATATTATATTTTTAACTATTCCCCAGTTGGTGGGCACCCACTGGGTTTCCAAAGAGTACTACTATTAATATTTTGGTATTTTTTGGACTTCTGTTTCTGTCTTTGACTTCTTGGGTTTATATGCTCAGTAATATTACTGGGTCAAAGCATATGGACAATTTAGAATGAAATTGATATTTGATAGAAAATGTTAAGCTTTCTTTGTTTTTCCTAACCTTTTCTTTTCCTGTGTGCTTATTAAGCTTTATCATTAATTATGTAAATATGCCGTGTGCTCTTCCTTACAGGAATCTATATCCAACTTCCCTTTATCTATAATGAGCTACGTATGGAAGGATTTATTTTCAGTCGCTGGCAAGGAGACATCCGCCAGAAAGCTCTAAAAGACTTGTTGAAATGGGTCTTAGAGGTAAGACAGTACAACCGAGATACCTCTCTTCTGGAAGTTAATGCTGGAATTTTCTATGACAACTCCTTCCATAGATATATTTCTTTTATACACAGTCTAAGAATTATACGAACTTGGGATCTTTAAGCTTTTACAATGGTGTATCTTGGCAGACTGTACCAAACAACTCATTCTCTCACAGGTCCTTTGAAAACAGAAATAAAAAAATTTTATCTTAAAAGTTAAAACTTCCAATTTACTTCAAAATGCCTCATTGTGATATGGGGATAACTCTGATTATGTCTGTGAAGCTCAAGTTCTGGCAGGCTTTTTTGGCAGAGTACTGACTGTCAGTACCATCCAAGCTAAATTCAGTATCTGCTCTGCAAGGAATAGCATAGGTAAACAGAGTAAATCATTAACTAAAAGCTGGCCACCGGATGATGGTTTGTCAATGCCAGCAAAGAAAATTACAAAGTGGGGCTTAGTCCTGGGTATTCCCTTTCAACTTCTTCAATAATTCTGAAGTAGAGTGAAAGGAAAAGGAAAAGTTTCTAAGAATTACATAGTTTTTAAACTATAAATATTAATTTAGTCAACTAATTAATTTAGTCAACTTAATCTAACTGTTGATGTGAAATCCTTGTCGAGTGATCAAATGCACATAACTCTGGAGAAAATAAATCATCATATGAACATTAATGTTCTTATTAAAAATAAAACCAGGAGACAAATGGAAATAGTAGTTAAAGAGAAAGATGGCTCATAGGTCCTTCTTGGAAAAACAATGACAGGAACTAATAGAGTATGCATTCACAGGCTACAATAAACATTTTAAGGGATGCTGTGGTCATCATATTGAAGTGCACAAGATGAGCATTTCTAAAAGACCAACATGAGGATAATTGTGGCTTGTGTGCCAGCTTCTGTTGCAAAGGATATGAAAATAGAGGATGTGAAGAACTTGACAGGAGCATTCAAATTATATCAATATGTACTTTAATACCTGATGATGTCAAAGCAAAGGAGTGCACTGTAGAAGATGATGAAACATAGACTGGAAAATATTGTTCAGGTATATTCAATGAAAGAGATGAAAGGCTTACAGACTACACAGATGAATCACACAAATATGTCCAAAACACCTTAAAGAAGAAAGTTATGGGGCAGCTAGGTGGCACAGTGGATAGAGCACTGGTCCTGGATTCAGGAGGACCTGAGTTCAAATCCGGCCTCAGACACATAACACTTACTAACTGTGTGACCCTGGGCAAGTCACTTAACCCCATTGTCTAATAAAAAAAGAAGAAGAAGAAAGCTATAAGGCAATGGACATTGTGAACATAGAATTACATCACAAAAGAAGTGAAATGTATTATACCTTGACTCATTCAGGAGACATTTCCAAACTGAATGCTTGTGTAGAGTTGGATCATTGACTTGTTAAAGCAAAACAAAAAATTAATACTAAATTAGAATAAGAGAAGGAGGCATATTTGAGAGAACTTGCAAAGGTGAAATTGACATTATATTATACGTGGGGGTAAGAATGAAGACAGGAAGATGATACCTAGGTTGCAAGCCTAGGAAATGAGGAGATGGTGGTACCCTCAACAGTCATAGGGCAGTTTAAAGGGGATGGGATTAGATGGAAAGATAGTAAGTTCCATTTTGGATATATTGAGTTTAATATGTCCACTGGACATCAATTTGAGATGTCTGCAAGGCAATTCGAACTATGAGATTGGAGGTCAGCCGAGAGGTTAGGGTAGGATAGGTGGATTTGAGAATGATCAACAAAGAGATGATTAAATCCAAAAGAGCTGATGAGGTCACAAAGTGAAGTAGCATAGAAAGAGAGGAGAGCCATATGGGACACCTGTGGTCGGAAGATGTGTTCCGTAAGAGGAAACAGCAAAGGAGACTGAGAAGGATCAGTCCGATAAATAAGAAGAGAACCAAGAGAGAGTGGCCTCCCTTTAAAACTATAAGTCACAGATAAGGTATCAACCTGAATTGGTAGAGGGAATATATTCACCAGGGAGTTCCCTATGCCAGTGAGATCACAGGTTCAGCTCCTATCATTACATTCTTAGAGCTTACAATTTAATAGTTATAGATATGGCATGTCTCATAGCTTTCTATGCTCCATGATGCCATGCAAAATGGGATTTTAAGAAATATTTATTGATTTAATTAGGTTATGGTTCAGTCATTTCAGTCATATCTAACTCTTCATGACCTCATTTGGGATTTTCTTGGCAAAGATACTGGAGTAGTTTGCCATTTCCTTCTCCAGTTCATTTCACAGGCAAACAAGGTTAAGTGACTTGCCCAGTCAAACAGCTAGTAAGTGTCTCAGGCTGGATTTGAACTCAAGCATTCCTGACTCCAGACCTGGCACTCTATCCACTGCACACCTAGCTGCCCTTATTAACTGGGACATGGTTGTAATTTGGAGTTGGTTTATTCCCGTTGAGAAGGAATTTATAATTTTCATATTAATCGATATGATATGTGTAATGAATATGCTAATATAGTTTTCTCAAGAGCTGCCTCTCTGGCTCAGGAGTCAGAGCTCACAATGCAGCTTAAACTGACTAATCAAAACTCTGACAATGCTCACAATCACTGAACTGTGAGTGAAGTGAATCAAAAATTGTAGAACCTATTCCCATCACAGAACTCATTCTATACTCCAGGGGAGGTGGTCACAATCCCCAAAGACTTGACTCCAGAATTTTTGTGTTGTGGGACTTGTGGGTTTCTCATGGAAAACAATTGTCTGTTTGTAATCCACCTTCCTCCCTCCTTCCCATCTTGTGATTTAAGTATGTAATCTGGGTTTCACTTCAGCAAAGAGAACATTCCTCACTCTAAAACTGATTAAACTACTTGATTAATGACTGATTCAACTATCTGGTTACTGGTACCCCCCTGCTTTATGTGACTCTGAGCACTCTTGGGTTAGAGACTGGCTCAGTAAAAATCCTATTAAAATCTTTTATTTTGTTTGTTCGCTCTTCCCACAGGGCAAAATCCAGTACCGAGAATACATCACCGAAGGTTTTGAAAATATGCCAGCAGCGTTCATAGGAATGTTAAAAGGAGAGAATTTGGGGAAAACATTAGTGAAAGTATGAGTGACCCAAGAGTACATCACACTGGAAATCTGGAGAACATATTAGTGTGTTTAAGTTCCCTAAAACCTTGTGGAAATATGTGCCTATTGTATTAAAATACTAAGAAACACCAACTGTAATTAATTCTGTGTTTAGTCTACTTAACAAAATGTGTTAAAAATTTGTTATATAAAAATAACGAGAAATGAAAATTCTTTAGTCAATGAACAAACACCCATCCCTACCTCCTAACTACAGCCCTCTTCAGGATAGTCTAACTGCAAGATATAAGATTATAATAATAACAGCTCATATTTAACAGCATTTTGTAATTTCCAAAGGCCCTTTGCTCACTCACCTATGAGGCAGACAGTACAAGTTTATTTCTACCCATTTTACAGATAAGGAAACTGAGGCTTAGAGAAAGTTTTAAATGAGAACACACAGATGACGGCAGAACTAAAACTTAAATTCAGGTTTCTAGGGATTGATCACCCTGATGAAAAAGACTTCCACAAAAACTTATTTAAAAAACAAACAAAAGCATTGATCACATATGTCCTTTAGCAAGGGACCAATGCCTGTGACACACCTGCAGGGGCAGCTGGGTGACACAGTGGATGGGCTCCTGGGCAGGGAGTTAGAAAAACATGAGTTCAAGTCTAGCCTAAGACACTTGCTAGCTGTGTGACACTGGGCAAGTCTCGTCTGTAAAACGGGGATAATAATAATAATACATACCTCCCAGGGTTGTTGTAAGTATTAAATTAAAACATAATTTTAAAGTGCTTAGCACAGTGCCTGGCACATAGTAAGCCCTATATAAATGTTAGTTATTGTTATTTATTGTTATTAGGGGTCAGAGCACATGATTAGTTCCATAAGAAGTGCCAACAATCCATCAGAGGACTCCCTGCTACAAGATCATGGTGTCTGGTTACGTACCAGAGGTTATATCTAGTTCAACCTCTTCATTTTGCCAATGAGAAAACTGAGGCTTAGGGAAATTTGACTTGGGTAAGGTCACATTATCATCAAAGGACAGTGATGTGGCCATGCCTGTAACTTCAAAATATCACTTTGGCAGCAATTCTAATTTGCTTCTGTTCTCAATTTGCTAAAAGAATAACATGGGATATACTGATTAAGACTTGACTACAGAGAAAAACATTGTCCCATAGCAACAAACCTGATATTTGGCAATTTCTGTAACCCACAAGGTTTGCACACTTCCCCATTTTCTTTTCTGCTGATGAATGCTGCTGATTGACTTTGTACTATAAACAAGCCTAAAAAACTATAAAAACCTCATTTGTACTCTAAGAAGTTGAAACTGCTACCAGCCCAAGCAGTTCTGCTTAGCATACTAATAAATTCCTTTCCCTTTCATTCTGGCTTCTCACTTTGACCTCCCTTCCCCAATCTTGCACACTTCATGGTATATGAGATACTCCCTAGAATCTCATGGAACCCAGGCTGGGAAGTTTCCCCATGGTACTTTTGCTAGATACACGTATGAGGACTATGGGCCATATACTGCAAATACCAGGGGAAATGGCATTTATTAACAAGGAATAATGAACAATTTCAGTGACCAATTAAAGGATCAATATCTTTCCCCATCCTAAAGCACTGGGGAATAAAGATACAAAGAACTGTTCTAATGGAGGGCATATTTTGACTGGTATATGCCTTTTCAAGCAGTAGTGAAAGATTTCAAGAAGACTCCTATTAGATGCATTAAATACATTGTAATAGCTAGTAACTGTGGAGTTTCCAGCATTTGGTGGTATGCAGAAGACTTTTCTCTTTCTATGAATTAGCAGAAAGAATTTGCTTTGGTAAAACCTTGACTGAAAGAGAAAGCCATGTTTGAACAGAAAAAATTCTAGAGGAACCTTACTAAACTTGATATAATGAAAAAGATAATCAGACACGTAAGGAACATAAAAACATGCCTTAAAAACAAGCAAGATGTCCTAGATTTGTTTTTAGTTGTGTATAAGGAAACATTCCCTAAGTGTAAAGCTTCAGGCTTGCTTTATAGGCAAGGAAGATACTGAACAATCCTGAACATTGGGACTAGAGCGACTTTTGGACCCTATGTGTCTTTCACTAGAGGTCAATGGGTAGCATTTCTAAGCAGCAGTGGAAATATTTCAAGAAGATACCTATTAGCTCTAGAGGAAGGCAGCAGTTTCTTCTGGGTCTTGGAATATTTCTAGGAAAGGGACTTTTGCTGAAATCCCCATGCTTCAGGGTAAGTGCAGAGGACTTTCATTCAAAGGAAATGCTTATTCAAGCCAGAATGAGGTAAAAAACATTGAATTCAACAGTGCACTGCCATTAAATGAGATACAAGAAGATGACTTTTCAGCATTTTGTTGGGAAACAGAAAGGCATGAAGGCTGACCCATGTGATTTAAGTCCCTTTCTATTTTTTGCTGATCTATCAATGCCTATCTCTAGTTGGATCAAACGAACCGCTTTTCTCAAAAGGAAAAACTTAGTGTGCAAAGTGTGGTAATTCTTCAGGTACTGTTTTGTTTCATTAGACTCCATGCATTGCAATAGCTAGAAACTGTGGAGTTTCTAGCATTTGGTGGTGCACTGAAGATTTTTCTCTTTCCTCAAATTGACAGAAAGGATTTGCTTTGGTAAAATCTTGACTGAAAGAGAAAATCCCATTTGGATAGAAAAGAGTCTATACTTACTACCTTACTAAATTTGATATGATGAAAAAGATAATCAGAATCAAGGAATGTAAAGACATGTCTTCAAAACCCACAAGATGTCCTAGATTTGTGCTTAGTTACATTTAAGGAAACATTCCCTATGTGTAAAGCTTTATGCTAGTTTTATAGGTGAGGAAGATACTGAACTACATTATTTACCATAGTGACTAAAGCAACTTTGGAACCTATGTTTCTTTCACTTGATGTCAATAGGTAGCCCTTCCAAGCAGTAGTAGAAAGATTTCAAGAAGATACCTATTAAATATAGAGGAAGGTAACAATTTCTGCAGGACCTTGGAATATTCTTTGGAAAGGGGACTTTTCCTGCAATTCCCCATGGGGTGAGGTTGAGTGTAGAAGACAGTCTTTCAAAGGAAATGCTTATTCAAAGCAAAATCAAGTGAAATAAATTGAATCCCGTGATACATTGCCAAGACAAAAGAAGATGACTTTTCAAAGTTTTGTTGGAAAAAAAGAAAGACATGAAGTATGATTCATGTTGTGTAAGTCCCTTTTCTATTTTTGCTGGTCTGTCAATGCCTATCCTAAGTTGTGTCAAACAAAATGCTTTTCTCAAAAGGAAAAACTTAGAGGGCAAAGTGTGGTAATTCCTAAGGAATTATTTTGTTTCGTTGGATTCAATGCATTGCAGTACCTAGAAACTATGGAGATTCTAGTATTTGGTGGTGACCTAAAGACTTTTTTCTTCCCCTGAACTGGAGTGAAGGATTGGCTTTGGTAAAACTTTGACTGAAAGAGAAAATCCTGTTTGGATGGAAAAAGATTCTATGGGAACCTTACCAAACTCGATATAATGAAAAAAATAATCCAAATCAAGGAAGATAAAGACATGCCTTCAAAACCTGCAAGACGTCCTTGATTTGTATTTAGTTGCATTTAAAGAAACATTCCCTTTGTGTAAAGGTTTAGCCTAACTTTGTGAGTAAGGAAGATACTGAACTGCCTTACTTAACCTTGAGACTAAAGAAACTTTGGACTCCATGTGTCTTACACTGGATGTCAACAGGCAGCCTTTTGAAGAAGTAGCGGAAAGATTTCAGGAAGACTCCTATTGGATCTAGAAAAGGTAGTAATTTTTGTAGGACCTTGGATTATTCTTTGGGAAAGGGACTCTTGGTGCAATTCCCGTGCTTCAGGTTGACCGCAGAAGTCATTGTTTCAAAGGAAAAGCTTTCACATAATCAAGTAAAAGACACACAACCATTAAATAATTCAAGGGTGCACAACCATTAAATAATATACAAAAAAGATGATTTTTGAAAGTTTTGTTGGGAAAAAGAAAATCATGAAGCCTGACCTATGCCGTTAATTCATTTTTCTATTTTTGCAGGACTGTCAATTCCTATCTCTGGTTGTGTCAAATGAAATGCTTTTCTCAAAAGGAAAATCTTAGAGTACAAAGTGTGGTAATTTCTCAGGAATTGTTTTATTTCATTGGATTCCATGGATTGTAATAGTTAGACATTGCAGAGCTTCCAACATTTGGTGGTGTGCTGAAGACTTTTTTCTTCTGAATTGGCAGAAATTATTTCATTTGGTAAAACCTTGACTGAAAGAGAAAATACATCTGATTGGGAAAAGTCTATAGGAACCTAACTAAACTCAATATAATGAAAAAGATAATCAGAATGGAGGAGGATAAAGATACGCCTTCAAAACCCGCAAGATGTCCTAGATTTGTATTTACTTGTATAAAAGAAACATTCCCTATGAGTAAAGCTTTAAGTTAGTTCAATAGGAAAGGAAGATACTGAACTGCCTTACTTACCGTTGTGAGTAAAATAACTTTGGACTTTATGTATCTTTCACTGGATGTTAATAGGCAGCCTTTCCAAGTAGTAGTGGAAAGATTTCAAGAACACACCTATTAGATTTAGAGGAAGGTAATAATTTCAGCAGGAATTTGGAATATTTTTGGGAAGTAGGCTTCAGGTTAAGTGCAGAGGACATTCTATCAAAGGAAATGCTTATTCAAAACAGAATCAAGTAAAAGACATTGAATTCAATGGTGAATTGCCATCAAATGGGATACAAGAAGATGACTTTGCAAAGTTTCACTGGAAAACAGAAAGTAATGAAACCTAAACTAGGTTGTTTAAGTCCCTTTTCTATTTTTCCTGGCCTATCAATTTCAATCTCTAACTATGTCAAATGAAAGGCTTTTCATAAAAAGAAAAACTTAGAGGGCGAAGTATAGTAATTCCTCAGGATTTTGTTTCATTGGATTTCATGCATGGCAATAGCTAGAAACTGTGAAACTTTTAGCATTTGGTGGTACGCTGAAGGCTTTTCTCTCTTCCTGAATTGGCAGAAAGGATTTGCTTTGGTAAAATTTTGACTGAAAGAGAATACTGAATTTGAATGGGAAAAAGTCTATGTGAACCTCAATAAATTCGATGTAATGAAAAAGATTGTCAGAATCAAGGATGATGAAGACATGAAAACCTGAAAGATGTCCAAGATTTCCGTGGAGTAGTGTTTAAGGAAACATTCCCTGAATGTAAAGCTTTGGCAACTTTGCACACTATATATCTTACACTGGATGTCAATAGGCATATTTTCAAAGAGTAATGGAAAGATTTCAAGAAGACTCCTATTAGATCAAGTGGAAGGTAATAATTTTTTCTGGATCTTGGACTATTCTTTTGGAAAGCAACTTTTACTGAAAACTCATTGTTTCAGGTTGAATGGAGAAGGCATTTTTTCAAAGGAAAAGCCTATTCAAATGAGAATCAAGTAAAAGACATCGAATTGAAGGATACATTGCCATTAAAGTAAGAAATAAGAAGATGATTTTTGAAACCTTTGCTGGAAAAAGAATGGTATGTATCCTTATTTATGTTGCTGATGTCCCTCTTCTGTTATTGCCTATCTCTGGATGGGTCAAGTGAAACATTTTTTCATAGGGAAAAATTTAGAGTGTAAAGTATGGGAATTCCTCAGAACTTGTTTTGTTTTATTAGATTCAATGCATGGCAAAAGCCAGAGACTGTGGAGCTTTCTGCATTTGGTAATGGCGTTAAGATTTTTCTCTTTCCCTGAATTTTCAGAATTGATTTGCTTTGGTCCAGCCTTGACTGAAAGAGAAAACCACTTTTGGAGTGAAAAAATGTCTACAGGAACCTTAATAAACTCGATAAAATCAAGAAGATTATTAGAATCAAGCAAATTAAAGATGTGACCACAAAGTCTGCACGATGTCCTAGGCTTCTGTAGAGTTGCATTTAAGGAAACATTTGCTGAGTGTAAAGCTCCACGTTATAACTTCAGAAGCTATTGAGGCTGTGGAGAAAGTTGCTGTTGCTGCTTCCTGTGGCAACAGGGCCACCATGCTGAAGAGGTCTAGAGGCTTGGGGTGCTGCTGGGAACCCCGAGATTGTGACACCAATCCCTGGCTGAATGAATTCAATTTAAGTCTTCTTCCAGCCAGAGAAAAAGTTTATTAGTGATAAATCATATAGGCCAGGTGACACCTGTAAGGAAGAGGGCATGAGAAAAGCTCAGCCTTTGGGGCATGAGAGATTCTCAGCATCTGAATGGGGGCCAGGGTAGATCCCACATATACTCAAAGTAACTTTGGGTGGCCAGGGAAGGGGCTGGGAAAAGAGTCCAGGCAAGAACTCCTACCAGAAGGCCCAAGAGACCTAATAGACCATGGGAATAGATAACTAAGGGAACTAGAAGGTAGAAGCCCAAAAGGCATCTTCAGAAGATCAAAAGGTGGGGCCAGGGCTTTCAAAGGGAAATGAGGGGAGTCGACAAGGAACCTAAAAGTTTAAGGGTTTTCTGGGACCCATAGACAAACGGGAGCCAGACTCTTTTTATGACAAGGGGCAAAGGTGCATCTGAATAAGATCAAAAGGTAGGGCTAAGGCCCTCAAAGGGAGATGAGGAGCTGGGGCCTCAGAAAAATGGGAGCCAGATTCCCTTGGGGCAAGGGGCTAAGATCTGGGCTTGGGCCCATACCCCATCAATGCTGCTCTTCCTCTTCATCCTCACCTTAGTTTTTAATCCTCCTCCTCATCAGCTCCTGGTGTGTTCTTCGCATCTTCCTTGAAGCATACCTTCATATGTCACTATAGAACAATTTGGTACCCTACCTGTCTTATGTTGAATGTCAGTGGTCATACGTTCAATGAGGTAAGGAATAATTTCAAGAAGACAACAGTTTGCTCTCCTGGAAGTCAGCAGTTTCTGCAGCCCCCGGGATATCCTTTGCCAAAAGGACTTTTCCTTAAATCCACTTGCTACAGGTTGCTGAAGAAGTCATTCTTTCCATGGAAAAGCCTATTCAAGGCAGAATTAAGTCAAAGACATTGAATTCAATGGTGCATTGCTGTTAAAGGGAGAAAGAAAAGGAGGACTTTTGCTCTTTTCTCATGAAGAGATTGGTATGAAGTCATATTGATGTCAATGATGTCCCTTCTCCAATTTTGTGGGTTTATCAATGCCTGTCTCTAGATGGCTCAACCAAAGGCCATCCTTCTGTGGAAATCCTAAGAGGAGAAAGGACAGGAATTCCTCATGCCTTGTTTGGTTTCATTAGATTCAATGTATTGCAATAGTTACAAACTGTTAAGCTTTCTGGCTTAGTTGGTTGCCTTGAGACCTGTTCTTTCCCTTGATTTGCATAATGGATTGGCTTCGATAAACCCTTATCTGGAAGAGTAAAAGACATTTGATTGGAACAAAGGCTGTAGGAATTTCAATAAACTCGATATAATGCACAATATTAACAGAATAGAAGAATATAAAGATGTGTCCTGACCACCTGCAAGATGTCCAAGATTGATGGGCAGCTTCCTGGAAGGATACCTTCTGTTTGTCAGTATTGAACAATTTGGTACTCTACTTTTCTTACACTAGATGTTAGTGGTCATACATTCAATGAGTAAAGGAAAGATTTCCAGTAGACACTTTTTAGAACAAATGAAGGCAGCAAGGTCTGAAGGTCCTTGAAATGTTCTCTGGGAAAGGGACTTTTGCTGCAATCCACTTACTACAGGTTGAAGGAAGAAGTCGTACAAATAATTATGTGAAATGGAAGGAGGGGCATGCAAATAACTAGGTATATGAAAGGTATATACAGAGTAGACAGAAGGTAATCACAGAGGGATTGACTGGCACCTGGAAAGTCTTCCTGCAGGAGATAGGCTTTGAGCTGAATCTCAAAGGAAGTCAGTGAAGGGTAGGAGATGGAGGTGAGGAGGGAAAGTATTCCAAGCATCTGGCATAGCTAAGGCAAATACAAGAAGCTGGGAGACTGGAGTCATGTGTAAGGAACAACACATAGGCTAGTATGGGTGGATTGAAGAGTACATGGACTGGAAAGGTAGGAAGAAGCCAGGCTGTGAAGGGCTTTAGATACACACATAGGATTTCATATTTGATTCTGGAAGTAATAGGGAGTCACTGGAGTTTGTTGAGTGTATGTGTGTGGTGGTGTTGGGGGAGGAGGGGCAGGATATATGGTCAGATCAATGATTTAGGAAAAGCGCCTTGTCATCTGAATGAAAGATGAATTGGCATGGGTGGAGAAAGGGCAGGGAGACCAATTAGAAGACTATTGCAACAGTACAGGGGGAAAAAAAAAGAGCTGCAGACCTGCAAGAGTGCAGTGGCTATGTGAGTTGAGAGACGGGTCTTTTACAAGAGCTGTGGACAATAGATTTTATATGGAGGGTGAGAATAAGGAGCCAAGGATGAAAGTTTGGGAGAGTGGAAGGTTTAGGGAGAAAGATATTGAGTTCTATTTTGCACATATTGAGTTTGAGGTGCTTATATGACAACCAGTTGGAGAAGTTCAATAGGCAGTTGGTGATGTGGAACTATATACACCTCAGGAGAGAGACTGAGAATGGATAATTGTACCTTGGAATCATCAGCATGGCAGTGAATGAGATCACCTACCAAAAAAGTAGGAAAAAAAGAAAATCTCAAGAAAAAAGCCTTGGGGGATTTCCTTGCTGAGTGGATATGATTGAAGATGGAACAAAGGCAACTGAGGAATTAGGTAAGAGGTGAACCAGGAGAAAGCAACGTCATCAAAACCTAGGAAAGAGTTTAATCCACAGCATCAAAGTTTGCAGACAGTCAAGCAGGGTGAAGATTTAAGAAAGGCCATTAAGACTCGACAATTTAGAGGATCATCACTAACTCATGAGTACAGCAAGCTGTAGAATGTATTTCCTGTATTCTTGGCACTTGAGGCATATTATTTAACTTAGAATATTGATTTCGTTTGTGAGTACTTTTTCTTGGCCCCCAACCTGGAATCTCACTCGTGCTGAGAGAATTTCACTGGTGGAGAGAGAGTTTCAGGTGAATGGTGAGGTTAGAAGCCACACTGCAGAGGCAAGAGGAGGGGAAGTAGAGGCACCCAGAGCAGGGGGCTTTGAATTTAATGTCTTTATTTCTTATGTGCAAAGTAAAATGTAAAACTTATTTCCTTTCTTGCTGAATAGAGGAAGTTTTTTTTCCTTATATGCATATTAATGGAAAACTGAAGAATATATTTCCTTTCATAATGAATTGAGAATAGGAGAAAGTTGTACTGAAAACTAAGGGATAAGAGGCCCGAAAAAGTTTAGGAACTACCCTGTGCTTTTAGAAACAGTGCTTGCCTCAGTTTCCTCATCTGTAAAATGAGCTGGAGAAGGAAATAGCAAACCACTCCAGTATGGAAACCCCAATTGCGGTGACGGAAGAGTCGGACACGACTGCAAAGATTGAACACCAGTTGAGAACCCAGGAGAGTGAAGGGAAGGTGCTTTTACAGAGGTTTCTGGGAATCGTAGTTCCGAGACCACGAACTGGCGACCGGCAACGATGAAGCTGAGTGCGCACGATCCTACCCATTACGGTAACTGCCTCCCCAGCAGCTGTTCCAGTGAGCTTTTGGGGCCTGGGAGAAGTCAGAGCGACCCCGCCAGTCCAGGTGTCCAACCCCTAAACTCGACTCCCCGCAGCGTGATTGGGTCCGGCGTGATCTGGCAGCAGTGTAAGGAGTTCACGTGTGTGCGTGCGTGCGTACGTATGTGTGTGTGGTGTGTGCGTGTGCACTTTTGTGTGTCCTGGGGGTCTCGCTTCTAGGCAAGCAGAGGAAAACCTCAGCCCGGTTCATTTGCCTTGGGAGCGCTGCGAGAAGGACCCGGGGGAGCCTCGCACTGGGGAGGAGGAGGGTGGACCCGGGAAGCGCTGTGGACTCAAGAGGCGCCCTCCGCCTTCTGCATAGTTTTCCCTTCACCTGCCCATTTTCCCTTTCAGATTCTTCGGGGCCACAGACGCTGCACATCCCTGGCGGGGAGGAGGGGAGCAGTAAATAGAAAAGGAGGGGGGGAAGGATAAAAGAAAAGGAGAGAGGGTTGTGTGAATTTTCACTCTGCCCAGATTTGGAATTAGGCTTCTTGGTGACAATTGGAGTAGATGGATTGGGACTCTTCAGTTTAGCAGGGTTTCTTAACCCTGTATGTGTGTGTCTGTGTGTTATTGTTGTTGTTTTTTAAATTTAGAATTGTATTTCAATACAATTGGGTTTTTTAAATAAATTTTATTTTATGCATGTAAAAACATTATTCTGAGGAGTCCAAAAGCTTCATCCAACTTCCAGAGCAGTACATGACACAAAAGAGGGTGTGGCCTTTCTCTTCCCTGTTTCCTTAGCATTTGAGAGGTATTATTTAGCCTCCAATATTAATTTCGTTTGTGAGTACTTTTCTTTGGCACCCAACCTGGAATTTTCACTGGTGTTGAAACTCTCTCTTCTCGGATGGCTAGGTACTTGCTGTTCGACTGAGAGGAGATGGCATTCTTAACCTGTAGGCCATGAGCTCCTACTGTTTTTTAAAACATAAAAAAACCAAGACATTTTGATCAGTGTATTTTATAATTTTATATATGTGAGTATATAATTGATTTCTTTTAGATATTTTTTATGCATTTAAAACATTATAACAAAGGAGTCCACAGGTGTCACCAAACTTGGGAAGGGGTGCATGACACAAAAGAAGGTAAATTGTGAGGGATATCGAGAGGTTAAATGATCTGCCTAGGCTCATAACCAATAAGTGTCAGAAGTAAGACTTGAACCCCTGTCTTCCTGACTGGGAGACTGATTTTGTATTCACTGAGCCAGGTAGCCTCTTAGGACACAAATCACTTGTGAGTACACACAGTACCTTGGGTCACTCCTAAATATTGCCTCTGATTCTGTCATACTCAAAAGGGGTTTTAAAAGAGTGCACAAATTTTCAGTGTACTAATTGAAAGTTGCTAACCTTGATTTTAAAACGACAAATCAAAGGCTAGTTCCCATTTTTCCACAGAAGTGTACATTTAGGAACCTCCCCTACCTGAACTACCTAGGTTTTTCTAGTAAAGGAATGTGGGAATTCCTCAAATTGTGAGTGGTTTTCTTGACTGTTAAGGTACTTTCCAAATAGGCCCCTATATTGTGTGCAATGAGTGAACATATTTTTTAATGGTTTTATTCATCACCTTGTAGGTAAGTACAGTCTTTCCCAGTTTTTGATTCTTTGATCCAAACCTGTACTCTTAGCCAGTTTCTTTGATGTTTCCAATGACATTTCTACATTCAACAAACATTTATACAGTACTCACTATGTGTGCAAAGCCTAATACCGAGTGCTATGTCAGATTAATGGAGGAATAAGATAGTCTCTGTCCTTGTAAATTTTGTTTATAATGAGGGGAATGCATGTATCTTTCAGCTCTGAGTGGCATAGATGTGATAGGAGGCAAAATCAATTTCTGTATTTGTCTCTATCTGTATCTTTTATAGACCAAGAGACCTAGATACATTTGACTAGATCTATGTATATTTGACTAGACCAAGTCAAATTTCAAGTCTTGGTCCTGCTATTTTTACTTGTATGAAGTTGAGTGAATTATGCTGGCTAAATCTTAGTTTCTTCATCTGTGTGATGCAGATGATTAGATTTATACTATGTAGTTGATGGTGTGATTGTGAGGAAATTTATGTAAATTGTAAAGCACTAAATACCTATGAACAATTATTATGTATACTTGAGCCAATGCTGAAAGCTAAATATCTTTCTTAACAACAATATCCCACTGCAGCCCGTTAATCACTTTGTTTGTAGTTTGCATGTCTACAGTGTCTTATCGATCTCTACAGGGTCAGATGATATTACTGGTGCTTCTGGGTCTCCCCAGCCGACCATGATGAATTTCTACCTACAGTATACATCAGGGATGTCTGTAGGTGTTCAACTTGAAAGGAAATGACTCCTTGCTAAGAATACAGATTTGAAGTCCCTCATGATTGTCTCCAATGGAAAGATGCTGACCCTGAATAAGATGATGACTCTAAGTCCCCAAATCCTGGATGTATATGAACAAGATAGATTACTGAGAGCAGATGCCCCCAAGGAAAGGGTAACCATTCTAGGAAAAGAGAAATTTAACCATGAGGCTTCTCGCCAGAACTTCAGATTTTTCCCGTACCCAGAGAAAGCTGGACCCCGTGAGGCTGTGAACCAGCTCTGGGAACTCTGCCTTCAGTGGCTGAGGCCAGAGATTCACACAAAGGAGCAGATCCTGGAGCTGCTGGTGCTGGAGCAATTCCTGACCATCTTGCCCAGTGAGATCCGGATTTGGGTGAAGTCACAACATCCAGAGAACATTGAGGAGGTGGTCACTATGGTGGAGGATTTGACCCAGATGCTTGAGGAAGAAGGTGAGAGTTACAGAAGAAAGAGAGTAAAGTCTTTTCAGGACATGAGAACAGGAAATGTGTAACTTGAGGTATCCTTGGAGAAACAGTAGTGAAAGGAAGAAACAGTAGAGGAGAAGGGAGATCTCTGGATTGATGGAGGAGAAGAGGCAAGCACCATCTACTTTGTGGGTGCTGAGAACCTTTTTAGCCTCAACGTTAGTATTCTATCTCATTTATCTAATTCAATCCCCTCCTTACAGCTTTACAAAGCATGTTTTTTACTGGCTATTTTTTTTGGTGGAAAAGCAAGGAACAGTAAACTCTTTAGCTCTTCTGTGAACTTTCACAGCTTACTTTCAAAGGTTTATTGGAATTGCCATCCGTCAACCAATGACTCTGAACATTGGGTTCCATAATAATACCTTGAAATTATAAAGTTTTTTTATCCTTTGAAGATCTCTGTGGGCTAAATAATTACAACTATCACAATTTTAAAAATTGGAAAAATGAAGGTAAATATAATCAACTGGCTTACTCAGGATTACATAAGTAAGGCAATAATTAAGGTTGGTCTTGGTCCCAGGTCTGTTTACTTCAACCTTTTATTTTTTATTTTAATGATAAATAGAAGATATTAAACTCTTCTGAATTAATTTAATGTAAAAGGAACCTAGCAAATTGATCATTTCATATTTTCTCATTGAGTGGAGATGTTTCTGTTGCAAAGAATTTTATTACACATTCCAGAGGACATATTAGATTAGAGACAGAATTGTGAAATTAAACCACATGTCTTAAATCCCAAACCAGACTTCTGTCCTTGGAACCTATTTAGACCACACAGACAAACTCAGGGCCCCAGGTAGCATTATCCTCTTTTAATTTTTCTGAGCTTGTAGACTAATCTTATTTCCATACTTCCTCCTTCCCAGCTCTCTGTTCTCAAGATTCTGTCCTTCCCCAAGAGGGAGACAGAGACAGAGAAAGAGAAGGAATGCTGACTGTGATCCCAATAAGCAGATCTCAGGTAAGTTAATTTCCTCTCCCTTTTCTGAAGAGTTGGTTGTGTTGGTAGACACTTTTCCTTCCTTTTCCCTGGAGTTTCTTTGTCCAAAAAGAAACTTACAAAGAGGTCTGAACCCCTCTTTTTGGGTCACAGGAGACTAGGCATATCTTAGTAGATGATGGACACTATAGAGCAGTACTCATTTACTAGTACCTTCTTTTCTCTACCCAGCATTTACTTCTGTCTGCTTTGTGCTCAGTACTATAATAATCATCCTGAAGTTTACAAAAAGTCTTGGATTCCAAGACTTCACAGTGCCAGAAGGTGTGATACAGAAAGTAAATTCTATATGAGATCAAAGAATGAAGAGATCTACATGGATTGAAGAACAATCCTGAGAGATGACTAAAATTTAATTAAATACGGCATATGGGACAGTAGATTCCAGATGTAGGTAATACCATAAGCTCATGCGTAGAAGTGGACTTGAACATGTTTTCTGCAGTAGCCATTGTAATATAGTGGCCTGGCTAGATTAGAAAGGTAAGATAGTGGGGAGCTAGGTTTGAAGATGGTCTCTCAAATGCCATTGTGACTTCATGTTGGAGCCAGTAGAGAACCATTCAAGTTTTCTGAGAAGGCAATTGAAATTATGAAAATAGAGTGTTAGGAATAAATGATGATTGTTTGGAGGGTAGGGTGAAAGATAATGAAGAGTCGAATTGCCTGGAATAATGATGTTATGTGTAGTTTTCTTGAGTTTGTCTGACTGACTATTTCAGGCTGTTGAGAACAGGACATTCTACTAACCCTTATCAGGTCAAGCTTCTTTCATACCCAGAGTTCAGTTCATCTGGACAGCCCTGCATTTATATGGTTCTGAACCTTCTAGCTAGCTGACAGGAGCAAGCAGCTGCCTAGTAGATCTCCAACTAGAGCAGGCCTGCACCTATACTCACATTAGGACTGAGATCATGAAAAGTTCAAACTGGGGTGGGGGGGGAGGGAAAGGAGAGCGGGAAGGGGGCCGAAGCAACAATCAGACTTTTCCCTAGATCAGACCCCTTAAGACATGCTGAAAATTTATAAATACCCAGCCTGAGCTACCACTTAGATCTTTGAAGAACACAATAGTCTACCCAGAAAAAAGCAGCAGCCAAATCCCAGAGAATGAATAGCATGACCAAACAAGGCCCCAAACATTCCCCTCAGAAATGTGCAGAGCCTGTTCCTAACATAAAATCCCAATTCAGGAAGTAGGTTTGAAACAATGAGTAACCAAAGACACCCACAAAAAAAGAGCCATTATGGAGCCAGGGATGCCAAAGACACAAACCTCTAAGAAGGGGTTAATTCCAAAACATCTATAAGCAAAGCCTCAAAGAAAAAACTTGGCCACAAGGTCATGTAGAATTCTTGGAAAAAATGAAGAAAGAGTTTAAAAATCGTAAATTAAATGAAAGCTTTAGAGAAAAGAATTGAGAGCAATAGTGGAAAGACTTAGAAGAACTAACAAGTTAGTATGAGATACAAAACCTTACCCAAGGAACAGATTCCCTAAAAATTAGAATGAACCAAACAGAAGTTAATAAATCCACAAGACAACAAGAAATACTAAAAACAAAGCCAAAAGCCTGGAAAAAAAATAAAGGAAAATGTAAGTTACCTAATATAAAAAAAAACTGACTTGTAATGAGATCAAAGTGAAGTCTAACTATCACTGGATATGAAAAAGCCCAAAACAACTCAAAAAAACGTTTTAATACCATATCTAAAAAATGATGAATGAAGTCCAGACTTATTAGAACCAGAAAGAAAAATGAAAATAGAAAAGAATCCTCTGGTCCCCCTCTGAAAGAAACCACAGAATGAAAACTTCCAGGATCGCCCTAGCCAAAATCCAGAGCTCCCAGCTTAAACAAAATTTACTTCAATTTCTAGAAAGAACATTCACGTACCAAGGAGCCTTTGTCAGGATCACACAAGATTTAGCAGCTGCCATAATGAAAAAGTGGAGAGCTTGGAATACAGTATTCCAAAAGGCAAAAGATATAACCAACAATAATAACTCAGTAAACTATACTAAGTAAAACAGTGTGATCCTATAGAGGGAAAAAAAAATGGACCTTTGGTGAGATAGATGACTTTCGCAAGAGGAAAATTTAGTTTGTTACATACTTTCATCAACAAAAAAAGAGAACAGATAAGTGAATTGGGCATGCAGCTAAAAAACTACAAAACTAACATTAAAAAAAACAACAAACAACAAAATAGAAATTCTGAGAAAATTAATTTGATTTTTTTTAAAGAGTAAAAAAATGAAAAGGAATTCACAAGTAAATAAAAAAGACAATTATTAGAAAGTATTTTGTCCAAATATATACCAATAAAACCAACAACTTAAATGAAATTCATGAATATTTGCAGAAATGAAAACCAAAATAGGAAACCGACATAACCCAATCTCAGAATAAAGATATTAAATAAGCCAAAAACTAACTCCCAGGGTGCAGGGGTTAGGAATCCCTCAGATGAGATGGATTTACAAGAGAATTCTATGAAACACTCAGAGAACAATCAATTACAGTATTATATAAACTGCAAAAATATCCTCCAAATTCTATTTTAAAACTGTGATCTCTATATGTAAACTAAGGAGAGACAAAGCGGGGGGGGGGGAGCGGGGAATTAAGACTGATAGCCCTCGTGTATGTTAATGCATAAATTTTAAATAAAATGTTAACAAAGGCTATAGAAGCACATCACAAAGATTACATATAGTTATTAGATGTATACCAGAAATGGATGGTTGGTTTTTTATTAGGAAAATTGCCTACGTAATAGACCATATTAATAACAAGAACAACAAAAATCATATAAATTTAAAAATTTCTGACAAGCTATACCCATTCCTGTTTAAAAATACATTAATAAATGGACCTTTCCTTAATATAAATAGTATCTATTTAAAACTTAAGAACCAATATTATGTGTAATAGGGATAAATTAGAGGCCTTTCCAGTTAGGTGAGGGGTAAAAGCAAGGATGTCTATTATCACTACTACTATTTAATTAGAAATGCTAGCTAATGACAAGAAGAAAATAGTAAATAAACCTTAGCAAAGAGGAAGCAAAACTGTTGCGGGGGGGGGGGGGCTCAGACTGCATAACAGTTTATTTAGAAAATCCTGAGTCAACTGAAAATTAATTGAAACAACTGAGGACTTTAGTAAAATCAAAGGATATAAAATACATCAATATTATTATTTCTATATATTACCAAGAAAACTCAGCAAAAAAAAAAAGAAATTCCATTTAAAATAATTACAAAATATATAAAATACTTGGAGAGTCTACCTACCAAGACACATACAAGAACTATACAAATACAACTACAAAACACTCTGTAGAAATAAAGACAAACGTAAATAACTGAAGAAATATTCATTGTTTATGGACATCTATGTCTTAAAAATGACAATACTACCCAAATTAATTTACTTATTTAATGCCATACCTATTAAACTACAAAATGATCATCTTATGGAGCTAGGAAAAAAATAATAAAACTTACCTGGAGGAACAAAAAATCAAGAATCTCAAGGAAAATACTGAAAAAAAATGGGAAAGAACAGAGTGTGACAGTAATCTTAAGCAATATGACAAAGCAATAATCATAAAAAGAATTGTTAGTGTTTAAAATATATAGATAGAGGCTGATTAGTGGAGCAGATTAGATATGGAACATATGGTAGCAACCCCAAAATCCCAACAATTAGGATTAGTACTCTCTATTTGACAAAAACTAATAGAAAAACTAGAAAACAGTCCGCTAAAAATTAGGTTTAGACCAACAGTCACACTGTATACCAAGACAAGGTCTGAATAGATAATCACTAAGATATGAAAGGTCATGTCAAAAAAACTGAAGAATGAGGAAGAAATTAACTTTTAGATCTATAGATAGAAAAAATTCATGCCCAAACAAGGAATAGAAAGGATTACATAAGATAAAGTTGACAATTTTCAATACAGAAAAAAAAAAAGGCAGAGAAGTGAAACAGTTAACTGGGGAGAAATCATTTTAGCAAGTTTCTCTGATAATAGTGTGATTCTTTCCCAATTGATAGATGGTCCAAAGATATAAAGAGGAAGTTTTCCAGAAGAAGAAAGAAATCCAAGCTATCAACAATGATATTTTTTTAAAAAGATCCAAATCATTATTAATTAGAGATAATTAAAGCAATTCTAAGTATAAAAGGAAAATGAGAAATGTTAGTGGTGCTACAGGAAAACAAGTCCACTAATGCATTCTACAAAACTGCTTAGAACTTCAAATGGAGAATGGCTTACCAACTCATCATATATGGTATCATATGTAATGGAATATTTTGAGGCCATAAGAGATGGTGAAAGGGACAGTTTCAAGAGACACCTGGGAAGACATGTATGAATCAATGTAGATTGAAATGAGTAAAAACAGAACAATATATACATTAACAACAGCATTGTAAAGAAAACCAATGTTGAATGGCTTAAAAACTTTGATCAGTGAAGTGACCAAATCATAGTTCCAGAGGACTGATGATGACGAATGAGGCTACCCACCTACTGTCAGAGAAGCAAGGGATTCACCATGCAAAATGAGGTGTACATTCATAGACATGACCCAAGCAGGAATTTGTTTTGTTTGATCATGTCTGTTTGTTAAAAGGATTTGTTTTTTTTTCTTTTCATTTGGGGGAATAGGGATGAGAGGAGAGAAAATAAATGGCTTTCAATTGAAAAAAGTTAAAATGTTTAAAATTTCATACGTTTTTGTTATAGATTCATAGGGCTTTATTATCTTTGATGTTATGAAATAGCATAATCAGTTCTCAGTTCTTACTGTTGATATAGAGCAGGATACTGTGGGAAAATCAAATTTAGAAATAATCATCAAACCGTATTTTTGTCATCGAACTCCTAGTATTCTCTTAATAGAATTTATAGTAATTGGCAAAAATGGACCCTGCCGTTCCTGTGGTGCAATAAGTAATAAAGTACTAAGTAAAATAAAATATAGATAGAGAAAATATATATATATATATATATATATAAATAAAAAGATAGAGAAAGATAGAGATTCTAAAGACCTGTATGATCCACAATTTGAATAATACAATCCCCTCAAAATAATTAAGTTCAACTATATTAATAATGCAATTTTATTAAACTACAATGTATAGTAGAAAGAGAATTGAAGCCAGAGGTAGCACACCTTAATTCCACTTATACAAACTAGCCAAGTGACCCTGAGCAAGTCAGTTAATTTCTCTGGGCTTCTATTTTTTCACCTGTAAAATGAGGGCTATGTGATCTCTAAGGAACCTTCCATTTCTGGCATTTTATTCTTTTAAATATATGATCGTGAGTCTATTTAACTACTCCATCTTTCTCAGTTTTCTTATTTGTGTGAAAATCCATGTGTCTGAACAGGCACATTACTCCATTGTGGGTGAACCGGTAAATGGCTATTCTGGAATATTCTGGAATTCAATTTGGAGTCATAATACAAAAAGTTATTTAACAGTATATGCCCTTTGACCCAGACATAGGCTTATGCCCAAAAGAGATCAAGAAAGAGGGAAAAGTCATATATGTATGAAATTATTTATAAAACTCTTTTTGTCAGGGCAAAAAAAAAACCTAGAAAGCCCATCAATTGGGGAATGGATGAACAAATTATGGTATCTGAATATGATAAATGTTATTGTGCTGTAAGAAATGAGGAAAGAGATGATTTCAAGGAAACATAGCCATATATGAACTGATGCAGAATGAATCAGAATCAGAACAATTTCTACCATAACATGAATATTCTAAAAATGAACAATTTTGGAGAGTTATAAACTGATAAAGAATGAAATAAGCAGAACCAGAACAATTTATACAATAACAAGACAGTAAAAACAGTATTAAAGGTATAAGAACGATGATCAATACAGTGACCACCCATGATTCCAGAGAATTAATGATGAAACATACTATCTACCTCCTGACAGAGAAGTGATAGATCTTGGGTACAGAATAAAACATGTTTTTAGATACAGACAATGATGAGATTTGTTTTCTGCTTCACTATGCCCTTTTGTTACAGGAATTTGTTTTGGTTTATTTTTTTTCATTGAGGAGAGAGGTGGGAAGGAGAGAGAATTGATTTCTGTTCATTTTTTTATTTAAAAATGGGGTGTTGTTATAGTTGTGAAATGTTGCATGATTTTGTAAATGAGGTCACTATATTATTACTTTTGTTTAATTGTTTTGCTTTACTACGAGACCTCTCATAGAATGATAATAATCTGTAACTTTTTTAATATTAAAAAAAAAAGCCCATGGGCCCAGGAGGTGAAGGGTGAAGGTTGACGCCTTCATCTTCTAAAAAGTCTCAATTCTGGGTCACATGCACCTGGTTCATGTCCTGGGGTATCCTGACCCCAGAGTAAAGAGATCAAGCACTTCTCACACACTATAGCTTTTTACCATCCCTTTCCCCTTCCATGGAGCCCCAGAGACAATCTTTTATACCCTAAGAATAGCTCTTGCATAGTGCCAATCAAAAGCATTTATTAAGTGCTTACTATATTCCTTCATAAAAGGGATTAACAGAGTCCCTAATAAGAGGGTAGATACTTTGTACAAATAGATCAGATATAGGAAAGCTATTTCCTTCCCTATCAAAGAAATGCTTAACCCAAAACTCACAAGCACACACTGATAGATATTTAAAACACTATACAGTAACCCATCACATTATACGCTTCTACAAATGATTGATGGGCAACTAGGTGGCACAATGGATAGGGTACCAGACCTGGAGTCAGGAAGACCTGAATTCAAATCCAGCCTCAGACAAGTGGCAAGACACTTACTGGGCAAGTCACTTAACCTTGATTGACTCCGTTTCCTCATCTGTAAAATGAGCTAAAGAAGGCAGTGGCAAACCACTCTAATATCTTTGCCAAGAAAACCCTTAATGGGATCATGAAGAGTCATACATGACTGAAATGACTGAACTAAAACATAAATAAGAACTTAAATATAAAAATATGAAATACATAGTGAGACTACTAAATAGGCATTTCGCCTTCACCTGGGCTCTCTCCATCTTGTCCAAGATTATATATTACAACTGACAGAAATTAGAAAAGGGAATTCTCTTGTTAGGAAGAGAGTGATAGAGGAGAAGTTGTAAGTATTTCAGGGAGTCTCATGAATGAGCACAAATGTGTTTGGTGTTTCAGAAATCAGTGACATTTAAGGATGTGGCTCCAGATTTTACCTGGGAAGAGTGGGCACAACTGAACCCTGTTGAACAGGCCCTCTGCAGAGAAGTGCTACTGGAAACTTATAGGAACCTAGTTTTTCTTGGTAAATATTTCCCTTATTACTCCAAATCTTTACTTTGGTGGTATTTTTACTTTGTAGATTTTTTAAAACCATGGGATATTCAAAGTATTTAGCTGAATTTGGTCTTAATTTGTAGAAAATACGTTCTAAAATGCTTTTGGACCAATCAACAAGATACTTATTGTATGTTTCTAAATGAAAAATAAATCTCTTTGCCTTAGAGAAATAAAAATGAGATAACTTAACTCATTCATATCCCTGATGCTGCATTTTCCACACGCTCTACTCCTCTACACGTCAAACACTGTCTGCTGATACCGAGTACAGATAACTCAGCGGAGAAATCTATACCCTCCTAGAAGGAAAGATTAGTAACTTAAGTACCTTTCTCAATCTAAATCCACTCCATGGACACTTAGACTTTGTGGGAACATGATATTGGATACTCTTCCGAAGTCCTTTGAACTGCTCTTTGGACCTTCTTAGCATATCCGCTCTTCTTTAAATATGAAGGAGCCTGAATTATATTCTGGCATGTCTCTTTTTTTAGGAGAAAAAACAATGTCTATTTCACTTCTTTTCCATGAACAGGTCTTTCAGCAACCTCCAAACCAGATGTTATCTCTCAGTTGGAAGATGGAAAAGTTCCAGGGATGTTGGGTAGTGAAACTCCAAAAGGCACCAGTTCATGTGAGTGAATGAAAACAATTCTTACAAGCAACAGATTGGGCAGTGCAGTTAGTGAAGGAGAATACGCTTCTGAAATGCTGGCCTAGGAAGTTCTCCTCAAAGTCTTTCAGGAGTGAGAAGAAGAGCAGAGGCTCATTTGAACTCTCATATGTTTTTTCATTGTCAGAAAATAGTTTATTCCTGTGCCTCTGCTTCCAAATTCCCATTCCCTTCTTAACCTCCTGAAAGGTGGCTTCTACCTCCATTTATTTTATGGAAACTGTTTCTTCTGTATGTTCTTTTCATATTTAACCTCCCTGCCTCCTTTGATGGTACTGAGTAGAATCACAGAGGCTATCAAATCCAGCCTATATCTGAAAAAAGATCTTCCCTTTCCCTGGGAGTTATCACCCTGTCTCCATTTGAAGAACTGTTATGAAGAATACACTATATCCAGAGGCATCTCATTACACTTTAGTCAGAGGTGTTTTAATTTACCTTTTAGGTCAAGTGGAGTACCATTGGTGGATGATGATATAATAAACGTATTGTTGTAGAAATTTAATCTGACAATTGAGTGTAAGATACATTGGAAGAGTACAGGTGTAAGGTGAAGAGGTCTTACATTCTAATCCTGTTCTCATTAATATTTGCTTTATATCTACTTTGTGTAACCTCTGCCTTTGTTTCCTTTTCCCTTTTCTAAGTCTCTTCATAGATAGAAAGTCTATATATGGGAACAATCAATACTGACAATAACTCACAATTATATGGCATGTTTTGCTTTTTTAACCTCTTTTTACTAACAACCTCTTTTGTCTTGAGGTTGCTAGTAAAAAAAAATCTGCATATTATGCTGTAATTGAGACATTGTGATGATTCAGAGTTAGAAAACTTGATTTCAAATCTTGGTTCTGCCATTTATAATCTGTGTAACTTTGATCACTTAGCCTCTCTAGACTTTATTTTTTTCACCTTTTAAGTGAAGAGAATGGATTATAAGACTTCTGAAGTCACTTTCTGCTCTAAATTTTTGATGCTATGATATAAATGAGTATATGTAACTAGCTCACTCTATGTAAGCATGTGTTTTAGTGTCCTACTTATTTTTCCAGAGAAGTAAGGGTTACTTTGGGAGTTTGTAGAAAATAATTAATGTTGAGGATTGATCAGATTCTTATATTCACATTATTTTCTACATTTAACAGCAATTATTCTCCAAGTGAGTCATTAGTAATAAATTACTCTGTAGTCCAGCCTAATGAAGGAAAAAAACAGGCCACATTCATAAAACTTAGAAATCTAAATTTCACTGAAGGATGTTCTTTATAGCCAATAGAGATCTCAGCTGTGGTAAAGCTAAGATGATTTGCTCCTCAGGTCAGTGTTTTAAGTTTGGTGTCTACCAGTTGAGACCACAGGGACTCAATATGCCAGATCAGCCAGTGGAGGACAGGAGGATGAGAAAGGGCAGCAGCTCCTCAAGGATCTCTGTTGATAAAGTGGTGGATGGTGACCACCATAGGTTTCAAAGAAGGTTGCAGGACCAGAGAAGGGTTTCCTTCTGCTACCTGGACAGCATGAAGTAAAGTGAAGAAGAGGGAGAATAGCAGTTCAGAATCCTTCCAAAGATGGCAGCAGCCAATTATTAAGCGTCTCCTCAGTGCCAAGCACTGTTCTAGGACCTGGAAATACAGATTCTTTTGGGAGAAACAACACATGCAGAAGTAAGTGGGCATAAAAGGGAATGGGGAGGCAGCTGGAGGAATCAGGAAAGGCTTCATGTGGAAGGTGTTGTTAAACAGTCATCTGAAGGGATTAAGGGATTCTAAGAGGTATAAGTGAGGCAGTATATTTCAGACATGGGGAGCAACCAGTGCAGACTCATAGAAGTGGGAGATAAAGTCTAATATGTGAGGAACATCAAGGAGGCCAGTTTGGCTGGGACTAAAAGTGCATGAAGGGGAGTAATATATAATAAGTTTGGAAAGGTAGGTTAAGGCCAGGTTGTAAGAAGCTTTGAAAGCTATAAAGAGGTGGTATCTTAAAGGCAAGAGGAAGCCATTGGAGTTCATTTAGTTGGGGAGTGATATAGGCAAACCTATACTTAAGGAAAAAGGGCAGCTAAGTGTTGCAGTGGATAGAGCACTGGGCTGGGAATCAGGAAGACTCATCTTCCAGAGTTCAAATCTGGCCTCAGACACTTACAAGCTGTGTGACCTTGGGCAAGTCACTTAACCCTGTTTGCCTCAGTTTCCTCATCTGTAAAATTAGCTGGAGAAGGAAATGGTAAACCACTCCAATATTTTTGCCAAGAAGACCCTAAATGCGGTCCCAAAGAATTGGACATGACTGAAAAAACAACAATATGAGGAAAATCATTTTGTCATTAATGCAGAGAATATGTTGAAAGGGGGAAAAACCTGAAGCAGAGACACAAGTTAGGAAACTTTCAACAGAAATGGAAAATTTTGGAAAGGTTTGGGGTGGGGTGGGGGGAAGATAATGAGTTCATTTTTTGATATGTTGAGTTTGAGATGCCTCTGGGACGTTTAGTTTGAAATATCTAATCAGCATTTGGAGTTGAATGACTGACACGCAGAAGAGAGATTAAGGTTGGACTGGGCAGTAATTTGTATAAAGATGATAACCAAATCCCAGGAACCAGAATTCACCAAATGAGAGAATAGAGAGAATAAAAGAACCAGGACAGAGCCTTGAAGAAAACCCAAGGTTAGCAATGTAGATATGGTTGATAAACGAACAAAAGAGACTGAAAAAAGAGGAAGAAAACCAAGAGAGAACAATGTCATGAAAACCCAGAGAGAGAGTATCTAAGAGGTCAACAGTATTAAATGTTTCAGAGAAATCTAGAAGGAGGAGGATTGAGGAAAGAGCAACAGATAGAGCAGTTTCAGTTGAGTGATAAGGTCAGAAGCCAGATTGCAAAAGGCTGAGAAGTAAACTAGAGAGGAAATAGCTTTTACTTGTGGTTTGACTGTGAAGCGAAGGAAATATGTAGGGGTTATCTGGAAGAGTTGGTATTGTCTATGAGGTCTTTTTCAAGGTGGAGGAGACTTTCCAAGGCTGCCTATAGGTAACAGGGAAGGAACCAATAGATAGGGAGAAATTGAAGATTAGAGACCAAGAGGGGATGATCATGGGGGCAGTCTGCCGGAGGATGCAAGAAGGATGCAATCAAGGGCCCATGTAAAGGGGTTGGCCTTAGCAAGAAATCTTTTTTAAAGACTACAGTAAAGGAGAAGATGAGTGATGACGTCAAGTGATTTTGTGATATAGAAAAGGGGAACTTGTGGTGAATGGTCTGTTTTCTCAGTAAAGTATGATTTAACATCCCCAGCTGAGGGAGAAGGGATTACCTGGAGGATAGAAGGAAAGGTGTAGAACAGTTGCTGGGGCAAGTGAGATAGAGACTCAATTAGGGAAAAGTAAATAACTGTCTTCCTGTGGTGAAGGCTCAGTTTAGACTAAATGACATAAATTTGTAGTGAATCCAGTCTGCTAGGTTGGATTTAGAGATAGAGATAAGAGTAATTGGCATAGAGATAATTAAATACATAGAATATGATGAGGTCACAAAGTGAGAAAGCATAGAGAAGGAATAGAAGAAAGTTCATGAGTTTTCCCTTTTTATACAAAAAGTTCCATCTATGATACTTTGCAGATTCTAGAGTAGTGATCATCTCAATGGGATGGTGAGAGTGAGAGTAGAGAGTTCATCAGTCTCTCTGTTTAGCATTTTAAAGCTATCACCTATGAGAACTAGTGTGCTACAAAAATTACTTCAATTGGTCTGGCCAGCTAATTATCACAATTTCAGAAATGGAGAGTTTTTGTAAAGGGCTTTATGGATTGAAGGGGAGAACATGGGTAAGCAGAAGACAAAATATCCTAAGCTGTTTTTTTTTCCCTGTTGCTAACTAGCTTGATCACCAAAAAAAAAAAAGAAAAGAAAAAGAGAAAAAAAAAGAATTTAAATAAATTTAACGTATTTTACTTTAGACCAGAGACTCCTAATACTTTTTGTGTCATGGACTCTTTGGCAGTCTAGTGAAGACTATTAGCTATGTCTCAGAATGTTTTTAAATACCTAAAATAAAATGCATAGGATTACAAAGGAAACTAATTTTATTGAAATATAATCATTAAAATACTATTAAAAACAAGTTCATAGACCACCAAGTTATGAATCCCTGTCTTAGACATTTTTTCCACTTTGTTATTCTATTCCAGTGGCAACAGTTTTTTTTTCCTTCTGGCATGAGGAAAATTTACATATATACATATATTTTTTTTTCTTTCAGATTGGAACACTGTGCCTAAAGCCAAAGATTCAGTTACAAAATGGGACACTTTTGCAAAAGAATCATCTCAGAGGGTGATAATGGAAAGATCCACAAGGCATTGCTGTTGGCACTCTGAACTGGGAGAATCCTTTATACATTATGATACATTAGTAAGGCAACACATCCACCAGGAGAAACTGGTAAAGCAATCAACAATCACATCTCAACAAATATCAAGTAAGGAAAGAAGCTTTGAAAGAAATGAATTTGGGAAAAACTTCAGTCTAAGGTCAATCCTAGTTACACAGGAGAGAGTTCCTACAGTAAAGAGTCTTTGTAAGTGTCATATGTATGGAAAGAGCTTCAAAAATGATTCGTACCTAATTAAGTGCCCAAGGATCTATGCAGGAAAGAAATCTTTTAAGTATACTGAATGTGGGAAAACCTTCAGCCAGATTTCACAATTTAATCTTCATCAGAAAATTCATTCAGAAGAGAAACCCTATAAATGTAATGAATGTGGAAGAGCCTTCACCAAGCGGGCAAATCTTACTCAACATCAAAAAATTCATTCTGGAGAAAAACCCTATAAATGTAATGAATGTGGGAAAACTTTTAATAAACGAGCAAACCTTACTCAGCATCAGAAAATTCATTCTGGAGAGAAACCCCATAAATGTAATGAATGTGGGAAAGCCTTCTCCATCAGATCACATCTTACTCAACATCAGAGAATTCATTCTGGAGAGAAACCCTATAAGTGTAATGAATGTGGGAAAGCTTTTACTCAGAAGACACACCTTAATAAACATAAACATACTCATATTGGAGAAAAGCCATTTAAATGTACTGAATGTGGAAAAGCATTCAGTCTAATTTCACAACTTAATCTTCATCAGAGGATTCATTCTGAAGAGAATCCCTATAAATGTAGTGAATGTGGTAAAGCCTTCACTGTCAGATCACGGCTTGCTGAACATCAAAGAATTCATGCTGGTGAAAAACCTTATAAATGTAACGAGTGTGGGAAAGCTTTTACCAAGCGGGCAAACCTTACTCAACACCAGCATATTCATGTTGGGGAGAAACCATTCAAGTGTAATGAATGTACAAAAGCCTTTAGCTATATTTCACAATTTAATCTTCATCAAAGAATTCATTCTGGAGAGAAGCCATATAAATGTAGTGAATGTGGGAAAGCCTTCACCAAGCGGGCAAATCTTAATCAACATCAGAAAATTCATTCTGGAGAGAAACCCTATATATGTAGTGAATGTGGGAAAGCCTTCACCATCAGGTCTCGCCTTACTCAGCATCATAGAATTCACTCTGGATAGAAATCCTGTAAATGTAATCCATTTGGGAAAGCCTTTCCCACCAGGTCTCATCTTACTTAACATCAAAGAATTCACATTATAGAGTAACATTATTAAAAATGCAGATGATCAGAAAGGTCTCTGTTGTGTGGCAGTAGTATGACCTGAGAACATACTCCTCAGCATCAAAGGAGGTGTATTGAATATTGAACTTCATAAATTTAATGACTATTCTAATCTTTAGCCAGAGTTCATTTCTTTCTTGAAATCACAGAATATCAAAATTTGTAACATGAATTCATTTCATTTAAAAACAAAAACCTAAGAACTGGAAGGGACCACCAGAATCATCCAATTTAAGCAATAACTGATCAAGAATACCTTCTGTAACATTCCTAACAAGTGATTATCCAGACTGTGTGAAGACCTACAATGAAGGAAAACCTTCCAAAGCAACCCATTCCCCTTTTGGAATAGCTCACATCATTAAATTTTTCCTTCCATGAAACCTAAATCTGAGTTTTTGCAACTTCTAGTCATTGCTCCTAGTTGTCTCTCAGGCCAAGTGAAACAATGTGATAATTGATTAGCAAGGGCTTTGTCCTGGTTCTTCTACTTTCTCTCCATTCTTTTTCAGATATCTCATCAACTACCATAGCTTCAATCATTAAGCTACATGATAGGCCTTCAGATATTTAAAGACAGCTTTCATGTTTGCTTTGTCTTTTTGTTCTTCAGGTCAAACCTTCCCATTTACTTCAGTTCTTATTTGGCATGTTATCCTGTCCTCCCACTGTCCTGATCACATTCTTCTGGAGATGTTAAATTTGTTTATGTCTTTTCTAAAATGTGGTACTTGAGATGAGGCCTGACTGGGATAGAATGTAGTGGAACTATTAGCTTCCTCATCTGAGATATTATTTCACTCTTAATGAAGCTTTTTATTGCCAAGGCATACTGTTGTCTCATTGAGTTTTCAGTCCACATATCCCTCCAGATCTTATTCACAGGAACTGATCTCTCCACACAACACACACACTTCTTTGGTATTTATAGAGTTGGTTTTTCAAACCCAGCTGTGGAACTTTACATTCATACTGATTGTTTCATTGTATTTGGTTTATCCTACAGCCTGTTGAGATTTTTCTGAATCTAGATTCTCAACTGACATGTTAGTTATCTGTTGTAGTATTATGTCATTGTCTAGCTTGACAAGCATACCACCCAATGCCATCTTCCAAGTGACTGATAAAAACGTTTGGTAGCAGAAGGCCAAGAACAAATCTGTGAGACACTACTTAGTAAGTAACTTCTTTCAAATAAATATCAATCAGTTATTGAGTATACTTTGACCATGGTTGGTCATTTGGGTCCATGTCTACCTACTGTATTTTTATCTAGCATATATAGCTCAATCTCATCCACAAGGACAGTATGTATAGTGGTCACACTACCCACACAACTGCACTTTTCCAGTATCATTTTCAGGTTCACCAATCATACTTTCCCCTCTTAGCATTCCTATCTATTAAAATGTAAGCTTCTTGAGAGAAAGGGCTCTCTTGCTTTTGTATTTTTACCACTGCCAGTTAGCAAAGGGTCCAGCATGTAGACACAATAAATGTTTGTTGATTGATCAGCATGGGTATTCACAAGACTTTGGTCCTGGGCCTTCTGCTTTCTCATAGTTCTTTCAGCTGTCTCAATTACGTGGGTTCAAGTATTATCTCCCTGCTGATGACTCCCAAATACATAATCTTTCTTCTGAATTTCAGTCCTTCAATGTCAACTACTTACTAAACAGTTCCATATAGATGTCATGTTAGCTTCTATAACTCAGAATGTTAAAAAAAAGTTAACTTAGCATTTTCTTCCCAAACTGGGATATCCCACAAATTTGCCTATTTTTGTCCAAGGCATTACCATCCCTACACTTGCTCAGTTTCTTAGCCTCAGTGTTATCCTTGACTCTTCCCTGTCCCTTACCCCATTCTCCCTTCCCCCAAATCCAGTCATTTACTAAATCTTGTTGATTTTATACAGGCAACATTTTGTCTTGCATTAATCCCCTCTTTTTCATTCACATAGCCATTACATTAATTCAAACTCTCATTACTCCTCTCCTGAGATGCTAAAAATGACCTAATTATCTTCTTGTTTCCAATCTTTCTTCCTCTTCAAACCATCCTCTAAAAAGCTGTTAGAATAATATTCCTAAGGCACAGGTCAAACCATGTCTCTCCCCTGCTTAATCCCTCAGTGATTCTCAGTTGCCGATAGGATATAATGTAAATTCATTAGCCTGGGTACTATATCTGAGGGGAGCTTTTTCTCAGACACGGGAAAGGTGATCAGTCACTAAGACTTGTTCTGCCATTTAGTAGCTATAGCTCCTCAGAGAAATGAAAGACTGCCTGCACACTAACCTGATATATCCTAGCAAGGTTTATTGAAGGCTATTTTTCATAGCTAGCCAGGATCCTGTATAGCTAACTAAAGGATGAATACGTAGGCATGGTAGTTTTCTTTCAAGTGCTTCTAGAACTGGAGGACTTAACCTTTTTTGTGTAGTGAACCCCTGTGGCAGTTTAGTGAAGGCTGTGGACCCTTTCTCAAAATAGCATTTTTAAATGCATAAAACCAAATATATAGTGTTACAAAAGAAGCCAATTATTTTTAAACGCAGTTATTGTATGTGCATGTGTGTGCATGTGTCTGTGTATACACACACGCGCGCACACACACACACACACCCCAAGCTGATAGACCCCGAGTTAAAAATCCTTGTTCTAGAAAGAAGAATGTGTCTTTCTCTAGCCCTATAGGTAAAGAGAGTCTTATGCTTGCCATCTGTGCCATGAAAGTACATAGCTCCTCAGACTGCTTTATGAGACACAGTAGCATAAAAATGGCTTTCCAGCCTTCCCCCTAAATACAGAATGTCTCATCTCTGATGTGTGTTGCTGCAGCTTCACTGATTTTCCTGTATCCCGTGTATTCTGGGGCAGTGATTGATGAGGATGCAAGGTATTGTCTCTTGTCTCTGATCCCAAATCTTTATTTTGTGATCATTGAACGTTACACTATGTTGAGGCAAAGAAAAGGAAAAAAAAAAAGAAAATAGAAAGAGTGGCTCATTCCATGATTGACCTTGCAAATTTAATGTTCATTACACAGACATTTGGGCTTCTTGTCATGGTCTTGGCTGGCATCTATGACATTTTTTAAACTGTATAATCCCAGAGCTGAGGGTAAAAATAATAGCAAAAACCAAAGATTTTGTCCACAACTTTAGGTTCTCAACTCTTCAACCTCTTAAGCCAGTCTCTGAATTTTAAAGCATGCTATCAGAAGTCTAAGGAACAAATCACAGAACTAATCATAATTCTAATTTCAGTCTCTAGTGTACGCAGTTTCTAGGAAGACGTATATTTAGTTGGGAGAGAGAAAGAAGTCTGTTGGAGAGTCAATAAGAAGAGCAGGCAGTAAAGGTTGTGTGTACAACCCTTAAACAGTGTGTACAAATGTAAAGATTTCCTAATACGATTAGTTATGTTATGTCTGTGGCAGAAAAGAAAGCAATTCTCACTAAGGATAGGCCAACATGTAAAAAGTGCCTTGTTTTGTTATTGCTTGGATCTACGTGTGTTCATCATTCTGTCATAATTCTGATATCACCGCTTAAGTAATGGTTCCCTTGAGGGGCATCTAGGTGGCACAGTGGATAGAACACTGGCCCTGAAGTCAGGAGGACCTGAGTTCAAATCCGGCCTCAGACCAAATACTTGACACTTACTAGCTATGTGACCCTGGGCAAGTCATTTAACCCCAAATGCCTTAAAAAAAAAAAAAGTAATGATACCCTTTACACATTTTTTAGCTGTTTATATTTTAGAGATTGATAATAATGAATATCCTACTAAAGGCTACTGGAAGAATGGCTTCCCAAACTGGCCCTTTGGGATGACCTCAGTTTGTACAATGATGACAGTTACCAGTTCAATATTTGCATGCCAATAACTTTTACAATATTCAGTTATCCCGTTTTTTGCATCTTGATCTCATTCCAAATATTCAAAGTTCATGTGATCTGCAATATTTTTAAGAGGAGCTCTGTGTTCTTTCCTCATGTCTTAGGGTCCTCAAAGGTGGCACTACAAACTCCCTCTTTCAAATGAGTTGTTAGAAGATCTGAATGTATTTAGAATCAAATCAAATCTAATAAACTACTACAAAATGAACATTCACCCACATGAGGGAAAGGGCTCAAATAGTCTTAGGTATAGGGCAGAGGTTGTTAACCTTTTTTGTATCATGGCCTACTTTGGTAGTGTAGTAAAGCCTATGGACTCCTCAACGTAATGTTTTTTAAATGTGTAGAATAAAATATATAGGACTACAAAGGAAACATATTGAAATAGTTACCAAAAAAAAATCAAGCTTGCAGACCCCAGATTAAGAGCCCCTGGTAGAGAGGGAAAATATTCACATAGACAAGCTTTTATTTTAATATATATATTTACAAAATCCATGTAGCCTTTTTAACTTCCCAGTTATGTTCAGTATTTCTATTCAAATGTATGAGTTTTCTTTTCCCTATATTTTCCAACTCCTCTGAAACTTCATGAAAGTTGTCTTTCTTTCATAAATATTGACAGCAGATAGGACCATATACAAATAGACACATAAGCTGGATATGATTTATGCAAGGGCTCATGTACTTTGCAATTACTGGAGAAATATTTTCTCAAACCAAATTAACCCATGACACACTGACATACCTACATTTAAACATTAGACATAGGGCCACAGAAGCTTTTATAATAATCATTTGTTAGACAGAGGGTACCAAGTCCCTCAACTGAATGTTCACATCATGATTGCTTCAATATCTTTTCCAAATCCATATCAGGATTTTAGCAGCTATGAAATTAAGCTTAAAAATAATTGGGAAGTTTTCCCCATCATCTACTAATCTCATGTGATGTAATTATTCATAATTTAGGGCTACTATTACACGAACACAGTAAGCAGGAGGCTGACTCCGACTTAAAGAAATAGCTGCTGATAGAATAACAGTTATAGAAACACCCTTTAAGTGAAACAAAAAATTGCAATAGATATTTCTCATATATTATCTTAATCAGTCTTTCCATAATTCTGTGAGGTAGACAAGATAAACTACAACAGATGCAGAAAAATGAGAACCAAGAGGTTTTAGTTATGTGGCTAACAAGCATAGACATCTTAAACTCAACATGTCCCAAACAACTCATTATCTTCTCCCCATAACACCACTCCTCTTCCTAATTTCCTTATTATGTTGAGGGTACTACCATCCTCTCTGGCTCAAAACCTAAGTGTCATCTTTGACTCCTCATTCTCATCACCCATCTCCAATCTTTTGCTTAAGTTCTTTAGAATCCACCTCCACAATATCTCATATGGCGCTGTCTCTCCTCTGACACTGCCATGACCCTGGGAAAGGCCCTCATCATCTCATACCGGGATTGTTGCCTTTTGGGTAATCTCCTTGCCTCAAATTTCTCCCGCTACAGCCCATCCTCCACCCAGCTATTCAAGTGATCTTCCTAAAGTACAAGTCTGACCATGTTGCACCACCACCACTCCCCTCAATTCAGTAAACTCTAGTGGCGCTGTAGTATCTTCAGGATCAAATACAAAATCTTCTATTTGGCTTTTAAAGCCCTCCGTAACTTAAATTAGGCATGGAGAAACTTTTCATGTTAGAAGGCCACATTAATATTCAGCTATAATCAAATAAGGCCATATTCAAGAAACTTCAATTAGATATACTTTAAAATGTACATTATTTTGTAAAAATCTAACCAATATGTACTTAATAATTTCAAAAAATGAAAACTCTTCATTTTAAAGTTAACTAACCTTTTAATGACTTTGTTGTGTCTGCTTTTTGTTAGAAATTATTTGAAT